GGAAGTCTCGAACGAGTTGCGTGTCGTTGCCCCCCCCCCCAAACGTTGTTTGGGCTTGTGCTCTCCTCACTCACTCACTCACTCACTCGTTCATCTCTTTGGCCTTTTTTCCACCCACCCCGACGCATCCATTCGCACTCGGAAGTACTCATCACTACCTGTTCCTCACTCAAAACCACTCGTCACACTCGGACCCATCCATTATAAGATCTGCTCATACTCATAATCACACATACGCACTCGCTCATACTCTACCTCGCTCAAGCTTAGACCGTTCGCGCGCCTTCCCACTCGTACTCAGACGACCTCGCACCCAGGCTGACTCATACTCAAATCTGTTCTCTTCGCACGCAAGGCCAGACTCACCCGCATTCGCACACTCAGACCCGCTCGCACGTAGACTCGCTCGCATCAAAGCCACTCAGACCCACTCATCACATTCAGACCCGTTCATTCTCATTTATGTTCATACTCAAAATCACATCTACGCACTCGCTCATACTCTGACTCGTTCAAGCTCAGACCGCTTGCGCGCTTCGAACCCACTCGTGCTCAGACGACCTCGCGCCCAGGCTCACACATACTCAAATCTGTTCTCTTCACACGCGGGCCCAGACTCACCCGCACCCGCACACTCAGACCCGCTCGCACGTAGACTCGCCCGCAATCAAATTCACTCATACCCAAATCCACTCGTACCCACATTGACTGTCACAATCACGCGCAAACGTACCCGGATCCACTTACACTCCGATTCTATGATTTTCAGATCACCCACGCGGCGATTCACATACACATTGCTACCGCGACGTAGCCATCGTGGCAACTGGGCGCCCCTAGTGCCAATACATGGCGCGAGTCACACGCCAGAGAACGGGCGTAGAAACGCCACGGGCGCTTGCCAGAATTGTTGCGGGGAGAACGGCGAGACGAACTGCCCCTCGTGTTTTCATGTGTGTTTCCATCGTGAAATCATTGCTGTCATCGTCGCCATTGCCGCGCCTGTTGTCTACGCGGACTAGTTCCCGCACCCAGATGCTCATAGACAGACCTCCTCAGCGAAACGTGGCCCGAACATGATATGCATATGTGGGGGGATATCCGCGTCGAGTAACGTCTAATTGCGGTCCAATTCTAACCACGGTACAATTGGCGTGGCACTCGGGCACACAAGATTTTATTTCTTGGTGGTCCAATGACCACTGTGATATAGCAGGCGTGGCGGGGCACCGAAAGGCAGAACCGCCAGGGGTGGAGACACTTCAGGGTCGCGCTCAGATTCGGGGATGTATCATACGGTGTGCTCGCCTCTGCCCCCATAAAACTGATATTTAAACTTGCGCGCCCTTCGCTGTCACACGCTCGCGTCCTTTCCCCTTTCGTCCCTCTCGTCCCAGTTGAACACGCGCATTCGCACTCGGAGCTACTCATCATCCCCCCTTCCTCACTCAGACTCACTCATCACATCCCGACTCGCCCCTACTCAGACCCGATCATACTCAGACTGACACATGCTCACTCGCCCATACTCGGACTCGCCCGCGCCCATACCAACGCACACTCATACCCACGCACACTCTGGCTCAGCAGCCATAAGATCCACTCATCTCCAGACTCCCTCGCGCCCAGGCTTAGTCGTACTCAGGTCTGTACTCGCCACACTCGAACCCAGACTCACTCTCACTCAAACTCACTCACACTCAAACCCACTCGCACTTAGACTCGCTCGCACTTAGAACCCCTCATACTCAGACCCGCTCGTACCCACGCTGGCTCACTCAAACCCAGGCTCGATCATACCCGGATCCGCTCACACACATTGTGGCTCACACTCAGACCACCTACGATCATATTCACTGGCATTGTGGCTCACAGACAAATGATTACCGCGATATCTAGAGGGCGTGGAACTTGGGCACCCCGAGTGACAGCAGTCGCCACGAGTCGCACGCCAGAGAACGGGCGGAGCAACGCGCCATGCGCAATTGCCTCACTTGCCGCGGGAAGAACGGCGAGAGGAACTCCCCCGCGCTCGTTCATTTGTCTATTTCCCTCGTCTGTCCTGGAGGATGTCCAGGTGGAGGAGGGGGAGGAGGTCAGTGAAGTCGTCGCTGTCGTCGTCGTCGTTGCCGCGCCTGTCGTCTACGCGGGCTCGCTCTCACACCCAGATGCTCCAAAACAGAGCCCCTCAACGAAACGTGGGCGAAGTGTGAGATGCCCATATGGGGATCCCCGCGCGGAGCCGTTCTCGCGGGAGGACGCGCCCCAAGCAGCAGCGCAGCGCGTGGCGGCGCCGCGCCCGCGGACACCCGCGGCACCGAATGGGGCGGCGGTGCGGGGCACTGCGGCTCGGCGGGATGGCCCCGCCTGGTCCGCACAGGCGGCCGCTCGGCAGCCGGCGGCGCCGAGGCAGGCCGCCGAGCGGCCGCCGAGCGGCCCTGCGAGACGGCCGCGCCGGCAGCGGCCCGGGGCGCCGAGACGGCGCGCGACGCGGCGGCGCGCGCCCTGCTGCGCTGCTCCAGTAGAGGAAAGAGAACTATGCACATACACCGATTCTGGCGAGGCCCAACCCTGAGCCCAGGATCGGTGCATACGCCCTCTTACCCTGCCAGGAAGGTATATGCACCGATCCTGGGTCAAGGATGGGCGTTGTCAGGATCGGTGCATATGCATAATTCTCTTCGCCCGATCCGGGCCCCGCGCACTGGCGGGTGCCTCACTGGCGGGGGCGGGAGGCGGCGTCGCCGGCACTGCAGGCGCCACCAGAGCCGCTGGCGGCGCACGCGTCGCACGGGCGCCTCAGCGAGGGCTTGCGCCCACGGCCGCGCCGCGGCTGCGGCGCCACGCTCGAGCACGCGCCGTGGGCGGCCGTCTGGTCCGATCTCAACCCGCTCGTGGTGGCTCGACCCGCCCCGAGGACTGATGTGGCCTCGTGCGCAACTGAGGGGCGGGGGATGCATCGACCTGGAATCGGCGATACATCGTCATGGATGGACCCCGATAGTGAGTCCGTACCTTCCTGGGCGGGGTGGGGCTATCGGGCCCCTATCGGCGATCAATGGGCGATTGGGGGTCGATGCGTCCCTCCTATGCCTATCCCCACTATCGTTGGCCCTGAGCAACCAACTTCTCCGCGACCATTGTTTTGACAATTTCGGATTATTTGTTATATTGGACCATTTGGGAATATGTTTGAAATATCTTTTGTTGTAACCATTTTGGGGTATTTTTCCCTACCTAGGCTCTGCCTAAAAAGGTTCTTACCGTCTAGCTTGAAGGGGCCGGGCAGTGGACCCCGCCCCGGGCGGTTCCCCCGGCATCCGCCCCGCGGTTCCCCCAGCTACGTCCCCTTAGCTTAGCGTTGCTTATCTCATCTTAGCTTAGCCTAGCTTAACTTAGTTTAGCTTAGCTTAGCCTAGCCTGGCTTAGCTTAGCTTAGCTTAGCTCAGCTTAGCATTAACTTAACTTAGCTTAGCTCAGCTCAGCGTAGCTTAGCATTAGCATAGCATAGCATAGCATAGCATATCATAGTATAGCAGAGTAGCATTAGTATAGCATAGCATAGCACAGCATAGCATAGCACAGCACAACACAGCACATCATAGCATAGCATAGCGCAACATTAGCATAGCATAGCATTAGTATGGCAAGGTATAGCACAGCATAGCACAGCATAGCATAGGGCAGACTAGCATAGCATGTCATAGCATAGCATTGCATAGCGCAGCATATCATAGCATAGAAAAGCATATAATAGCATATCATAGCGTTGGTTAGCTTAGCACGGTGCAGCATAGCATAACATAGCATAGCACATCACAACATACCATAGCATAGCATAGCGCAGCATAGCATAGCATAGCGTAGCATAGCATAGCACAGCGCAGCATAGCATAGCATAGCATAGCGCTGCATAGCATAGTATAGCATAGCGCATCATATCATATCATATCATAGCCTAGCCTAGCATGGCAAAGCGCAGCATAGCATAGCATAACATAGCGCAGCATATCATAGCATAGCATAGCATAACATAGCATAGCGCAGCAAAGCATAGCATAGCATAGCATAGCCCAGCATAACGCTGCTAGTGATTGTTTTTCGGTGGTGCAATCTGATACCGAATGGATTCCGCCAAGGTTCTCGAGAGCCGTCAGACGCGCAAGACAGAAGCCAGAATACAAAAACCCGCTCCCCGCTAGGGGGTAGAAGGAGGTGAAAGGTTTGTGCACTATGTACACAGGTCCAGGGTGGCCGAGGGCGGGCAAGCTTGAGCCCAGGCAGTTATGGAAACGGGTGATAACTGCAGGGGTGCAACAGACTAAACACTCATAGCAAGACCGTGCATCGCACAACCATGCTAGTGATCGTTTTTCGGTGGTGCAATCTGATACCGAATGGATTCCGCCAAGGTTCTCGAGAGCCGTCAGACGTGCAAGACAGAAGCCAGAATACAAAAATCCAAACTCTTTGGCATAGTCGAAGTTCTCAGCGCAGCGGTACCCAGACCATTGCCGTACGGAGGTGCGGGAAGGCGTCAACCCTGATGTAGTGCGAGGAGGCCTCGAAGAAACGAAGGACGCAGCACTGCACATATTACAAGTCAAGTAGGATCTTTGCGAGGAACTTTGCCAGACGATAAGGATATTGGGCGGCCCTCGAGGTCATCGTTTTACCCTCCAGAATCAAATGTTTATGACCAGGACGGAACGAGCAGAAACCATGCTTCCCGTGGCATCTGAGGCGATCCGGGAAAATGATAGCCAGGTTGCCTGACTCGGTAGGGCAGCCGATGACAATGCGCGTGGATTTCCTCCAATGAGCACCGAAAGCGCACTGATGCAGGTCTATAGCCCACGAGTGCGGAAGAACATGAGCGGCCACATTATCTTGCCGCCACAAGTACGAGCCCATTGGATTCTCCATAGCATAAGGGATCTTGAAATGAACGCACAACCGAATGATGTAGACTGCGACAGATAAACATAAGTTTCCAATCTTTACTGTTTCACGATCATGGGCTCGCAATCGTGGTAGGCCCTGAGGAAACTGGGCACTCCTGACGGGGTACCTGTTCCGGGCCAGCGAGAAGGACGCGCACGGAGGCGCAATCATCACAGCACGAATGAGACCACGGCGAAAATGATCCGCGATGATGCGGAGGTTGGCAGCACTGCACACATCCTGATCAGCACCCTGCCGAAGGTCTAAGCTGATGGCAGGTACCCCCAGCTTGCGAGCCCACGCGGCAACCCCTCCAGCACCGGCGAAGAGATCCAGGAGATACGGAGCCTTCTGCGCCTTGAGCACGGCGCAGGCGGCGGCCTTGCTCAGGCCGTGGGGCGCTGGGATGCTGGAACGGGTGCGGGGCGGCCGTGAAGGATGACATCCTCCATCACCCTCAGAGCAGCCACGCAGAACGACTTCGTGAGCTCCGACAGGCCTTCCCACGACTCGTTCAGCCTGCCCGCCTTCTCGTAGCGCTTGACCGAGGTGAGTGTGGCCCAGCGCCCGCGTTTCTGGACCTCCTCTTGAGTCCGGCGGTTCGAGGCCCTGTCCAGGCTTGCCCCGGAGTGTCTCCCCTGGTAGGGCACCGCGTCGACCCCGATGTTGTGAGCCGCCCGCCTGAACAGCGCCAAGAACTGCGGGTAGGTCAGGCCGAGCAGCGGCTGAGTCGACCCTCGATCGCGAAGGGCCCGGTAGATGTGATGCATCCAGGCCATCCTTCCTGAATCGATCGGGATCGAGTCGTCCGACGACCCCGTCTTGCTGCGCGCCGTGCCGCTCTCCGGGAAGAGGAGCAGCACCCAGTTGTCCACGGCGCGGCTGCAAGGTGGCAGGAACGAGTTCGACGTCAGCCCCAGCATCTCGCCGGGTCGAAGATAGCACTCCACCATGATGAGCACCATCACCCCGGCGAGAGGAGCGCCCAGCCTGGCCAACTCGACCGCGATGCCCGCCCACATCGCGAACACCAAGGGCTTCCGCGATCTTGATGGGCTGAGACGCTTCCAACCTTTGAGAGTACGAAGGGCACGTGGCATGTAGAGGCCACCAGACTTCCCATAGTCCGGGTGGAAGAACATCATTGCAGCAATGAGCTTCTCTCCACGCCAGCTCTTGACCCCCTCGAGGAAGAGCTTGTTCATGTACTCGACCAACTTTACGTCCAGCACGGCCGACGCGGGCATGGCTGTCAGCAAGAAGCCTGCCCAGGCACAGAACGCGAGGGCGCACTCTCGGTAGGTCTCCAGCGACCTGGCCCCCACCGAGCGCTTCTCCAAGTAGCTCAGCCCCGTGTTGTGGCCGTGCCTCCAGATGTCGCCGCCGCGGGCCTGGATGGCCCTGCGGACGCGAGCCTTGCCCCGAAGCTCGAGGTTCCGGCGCGAGGCGGTCACCACCCGCCGTTCCTCCACGTCGCTGCTCTCGTAGCTCTGTGAGGCGCCCGCGTCCACGGCCGCCGCGGGGACGCCGGCGCTTGCTGGAATCAGCTTGCCCGCCGGCGTCTCGAGGAAGGCCTCCACGGCGTCCGTCTGCGCCGGGCAGTGCGGCGGGGCGGCAGCCACGAGCCTCGCATCCAGGCCCTGGGACGCGTCCAGCACACGCGCTCGCCTCGCCGGCGGGGCCGCCGCAGAGCTGCTCGCGCCCGCCCCCGGGCTCAGGGTGCGCACTCTGCAAGGCGCATTCGCCGCCGGCTCCTGCAGGGAGCCCGCGGCCGGCGCCCGCGGCGGCAGGCTCTCGCGCTGCAGCGTCCGCTGGCGGCCCGGCGAGGCCGGCTGGGCCCCCTCCATCGCACTGCCGCGAGGAGCCTGAGGACACAGGACCCGAAGCCTGGTTTGAGCCTAAATGGGATACGAGGGTCTTGGAGCTGTCATATTCTGGATCAAACTTCCGACTGCCTTCATCGCCAGAGTTGAACTCGCTTGGTATCCAACGGACAACAAATCTGATGTTTCTCGCCAGACAGAGCGCAGCAAAACGTCGGACCTGAATTAGCAGCCGAAAATCCCTGGACCTGAAACGACAAAAACAGAGCACTACCGAGAGATTGTCCCCCAGTAGGAGGACGCGGCAGTCTTTGACTGGCTGAGAATGGGCCGCACGAGAGGCAGCCTTCACCAGTGCTCTGGCCTCAAGCCTCAGAATATCGTCAGCAAAAACCCAGCGATCTGCCATCACGGTCTTCCAGTGGGAATCGCGAAGCAGCTCATGCGGGACCTCGGGGAACGCCGGGTCGCACTCCCAGCGCTCGCTGTTGAGGATGTCCAGCAGCTCGGAGTCGAGCCGCCTCGGCGCCCCCTCGGCGTCGCGGACAACCTCGCCCGTCTCTGAGTTCAAAAGAAACCCGGCACTCTCGAAGGCGTGCTGACGAGCCAGACCAGCGCACAAACGCCACCGACTCAGCTCCGAGATGCGGCCGACTAGAGCCACCTGGGCAGAGTCGAACTCCGCCTCTGCGACGCCGTATCCGTAAAGGCTGGCGTCCGACGAGTAAACGAAAGGCATCCAGTCGCGGTCCCAGCGAGCCTCGAGCATCACCATCAATCCCACGAAGCACTCCAGTTCCTCTCGAACAGTGGGCCAAAGGACCGAAAAGGTGTGATAGCTGCTCGTCACGAAAGCGTACACTGCGTGAAAGATAGACAGCAGCTCGCGCCGAACCAAGGCCATGAACGTCATGTGGCCCAGCACCATCTCAAGCTGCCACCCGGCAACCTTGCGCTGCCTGAGGAGACATCGCAGGCCCTTCCGCACGGCTGCGAACCTCTCGCCCGTAGGCCGCGTGCAGAGCCTCGCTCCATCCAGGTGGCAGCCCAGTGTACGACCACCTCCCACGTGAAGTTCAACCTCATGAAACTTGAGATGGTCACGATCGAAATCGGTCTGGGCTTCGTGAAGGGCTGAGCGGACGGCGGTGTCCGACAAGCCAAGGACGCCGGCGTTGTCGACGTACATGAAGTGGCCGAGGTTCTCACCATGTGGCCCGCGGCGGAGGACAAGAGGCGGCCCTCGATCACTGAGCCGCAAGCTCTTTGCCAAGGACGGCTGCCGATCGAGCCGCGACTGGTTGGCCGCCTGCGCGAAGAAGGGCGACCATGAGAAGCCCATCGGCAAGCTCTGACTCATGGGCCACACCATCTCCGAGTCGCCAGCCGCCTGACCCTCGATGAGGGTCTCGCCTGTGGCAGAGGCTAGCAGCGGCGGCCAGCAGAAGTAGCGCCGAATGTCGCCGTCCAGCTTCATCCGATGGAAGCAGTCGGCGACGTCGCCGACCCCCAGGACAACGCGCAGCTCGCTGAGGTCCCCCTCCTTAAGCACCGGCACCTCGATGCGGCCAAGCCCTTCACCTGACAGCAAGTCGACACCAGGCGGGGGACGAAAAAGAGCACTGCTGCGTCTACAGTCCACGATGAGGCGCAGGCGCTCACCATCCTTCTTCTTTACAAAAAACAGTCCAAGAACGCTCAAAGGTCGTCGGGTCAAAGTCACGAGCCCGATCCTGAGCGCTCGTCTCACGAACTTCGCGTAGCTCCGAGGACGTTGGAGCAGCAGAGGGTCAGTATGACAACCAGGAAGTCCATGAAGCTCTCGTATTAGCGCCGCCTCACGAGGGGGAAGCAGCATCTTGGTGGAGTACTCCTCGAGAAAAATCCTCGCCTCCGCAGGTAGCATCTGGGCCAGACTGGGGGCGTCCAGGACGCAGTCCGGCAAGCTGACCCGCGAGTACTCGTAGGAGCCCATGCTGGTAGAGCCAAGGGGAGCGTAGCCCGCCTTGCCCTTCAGAAGCTTGGCCAAAGCCTCCTGCTCTGTGATGGCGCTGTCAACGTCAATCCAGCGACGAGCCGCCGAGAAGACGCGCTGCTGCACATCGGCCCTGATGAGATCCATCTTACGCTGGCTAACGCTCCCCTCGGGCGCCGTGCCACTGCGATGCTCACCACCGTGCAAGTAATTCAAGCTCTTGCAGGCTGCGTTGCCGTCTCGCAGCCAGCGGCGCCGCTGACCAGGCGTCAGGCCGTCGCACCAGTCGTCAGGGAGCGCCGCCAACGGGGCTATGGGCAGGCAGGCCGACCCACGGAGCCCCGAACTGCCCTTGGTTCTGCGGGAGACGGTCGGGCACCCGCCTCCCTCGGCCTCGGGCGTCATGTGCCCGGCGGGCGGCGGCCACGGCCCCGCCCGCCTCGACCGCGGCCCTTGCCGGCCGCATCACCTCCCTCAGCGCCGGCCGCGGCGCCGCCGGCAGCTCCAGCGGCGGGCAGGCCGCCAGAGGCGACGGCCGCGGCTGCCGCGCCCGCGCCGTCGGCTGGAGCAGCGCCGGGGACACGGGACCGCATCCGCAGCGCCTCCAGCTCCTGCTCCTCCTTGGACAGTCGGCTGGCATAGCTCCGGAGCGCGTCGGGCACCAAGTCGAGCGGGTTGGTCGTGCCGCCCAGGTGCTTCGCCGCGCCCCAGTTCGCGTTCTCGGCCCCGTGCGCGTAGGCCTCCACATACTGTTGCAGCCGCCGCGAGACCACCTCCAACGACGCCAGGGCGCCCATGTTGAGCTGGTCATAGGTCCCCGCCAGGTACAGTACTTCGATCAAGGTCTGCACCTCGTGGTAGGCGCGATCCTTCCTGGTCACGCCCTGCTCCTTGCACCACTCCTGAAACCACATCTTGGGTGCGCCACCATGGCGATACATCTTACGACCAATCTCGAGGCAGGCGGGGGGCCCACGGATGCTCGAGTCCGAGAAGATCTCCTGTGTGCTCTCCTGCACGACCTTCCTCCACTCCTTGAACCTGGCACCGGTCTCGTCGGTGTCGATCCAGCACGTGCGCAAGTCCTCCCTCTCGTGAGTGGCGACGCACTCGGGGCCAAGCCCCCCGCCCTCTGGCTCTGGCGAGGGGGTGGCGGTCCCGCCAGCGCCGGCCTCGCGGCCCGGGAAGAGCCTCTCCTCCAAGGCCTCGCGGGCGGGCCGGAGCTTGTCGGCCGCCACCAGCTTATCCTCGCGCCACCGCTCCATCGCGTCGTCCGTCACGAACTCGATCGGGAACCACTCGCCCCGCGGGTCCTGGTCGACGCCATACCTGCCCCGGACGATGGCGTTCGGCGACAGTCTCACCTCAAGCCCGAAGTCGGCACCGCCGTCGAGCGAGCCAAGCAACCAGGCGCCGGGCGGCAGCTCCTCGGGCGGCGGCGGCCGCGGCCCGGTGGCGCCAGCGGCCCCGTCGGCGTCGGCGAGCGGCGCAGCCGCCTCGGCCTCGGCGGGGCGGACCTGCTTGCCGCGCAGCCGCCGCTCGACCCTCGGCGCGTCGACCGCCATCACGTCCGGCACTGCGAGGCGGCGACCAGTCCAGGTCACACCTGTCCCGGCCCATGTGGCGGCCGCGTTGCCGTGGTCAGCGATCGCCTCACCGCGGCCCCGCTTGACGACGCTGAGGAGCTCCTCGTCAGTCAGGGGCCGGCTGAAGGCAACCACATTGGTCGTGCCAGGCGGGTACACTCGCTTGCCAGTCCACTTCACCACTGAGGTATAGTCGGCCCGCCCTTCAGGATACAGATGGTTGCCAGCAGTATACACCATCCACTCCGAGAGGTCAGCGGCCGTGGGCCAGCACAGAACACGCTCATGCGTCCAGCCTGGATCCGTCGAATACTGCACCAGCACCCGCATGCCGGGCACGGCTCCGTCGACGAGCGACATCACGCCACGTGGATCCGCGCCTCTCCGACGGGCTCAAGCCCGCGCCGTGCCGAAACCCGGCCCTCGCACCAGCGGCAGCAGCCCCAGCCGACGAAGGCCTGCAGCACGATGACGATCGCGCTCGCCGGCACCACCGGGACCTCGACGGTCGCGGTCACGCCCTCGCCCACCACGCGCAGCGCCTCCGGGGACGCTGGGGTGGGCGCTGGTGGCGCCGGCGGCGCCGGGCAATGGATCTGCGGGTCGAAGGCGGGGCACGGCTCCCGCGTCACGCTGGTGACGGACGAGCTGGTGGAGGCGTCCTCTAGCTCGTGTCCTGGCCCGTCACGAGGCCAGTCAGGCTCAGGAACCACCGCAGGCCCGAGAAAGCCGTGGGCCGCGAAGCCGACCCAGAAGGCAACTATCGCTCCTGCCGCGGTGGTCGGAGGATGCGCAAGCATACCCGCTTCAAGCTTGAGCCCAGGCAGTTATGGAAACGGGTGATAACTGCAGGGGTGCAACAGACTAAACACTCATAGCAAGACCGTGCATCGCACAACCAAGCGCAGCCGAGCGTAGCTGTCGGTGTAGATGTCGGTGTAGATGTAGATGCTGCTTTCCTAGATGCTCCAACCCCTGGTAGGGTCGCACTGGGATAATTTGAATATTTATATTTTTCGTCGAAAATCCCCCTGTATGGGGCACACGCCCGACTTAATCGTGGCGGCTCGACTCGCGTCGAGGACTGCTGCGGCCTCGTGCGCAACCAACTTATCCGCGACCAGGAGAAGGCGCTGGGCTGTAACGTGAGCCCGCGGGCAGCTGGCAGCCGCCTCGGCCACGGCATCGGCCAGCCGGGGGGCCCTCCGGTACTCTGCCGTGGCCGCAGCGCCATCGGACCGACGAGCCGTGCCGAGCACAGCGGCCGGTAGCATCCACGTGTTCCGCAGTACACGTCGTTCGGAAGAAGTAGGTAGAAACATGAAGTAGGAAGGCGGATTAAGTTGATTGAGTCCAGGCCCTCCCAGAGAACAAATCACAGCAAACGCATGCCGATTCTTGAAGTAGGAAGGCGCTTGAAGTAGATTGGGATCTGGGAATCCAAAACTACATACTTTCAATGACCGGCGTGTAGCGAGGCTGGAGAAGTCGCCACCGAAGACGGTGGCGAGTGGCGACCAAACCTGGTCAAGGATCGTCGCAAGCTGGGTTGCTTGCACCGTTTCAAACGTGGCCGCTGGCAGGATCGATCGGTATTCCGTGCAAGTGGAGGGCGGCAAGACGCCGATGGGAAGCACCAGGAGGACGGCCCATAGCTCGGCAGCTGACACAGTGCGAACCCACGGCGGAGGCACAACACCGCCACACGTTACAAGGTCCCGTCGGCCGACACGCCGACGATGGCGCAACCACTACGCCGCTCTTCCCAGCGCGGCTCGTATTGCATGGACCCGTCCGGGTATCAGCTGAGGTCCGCGCGGCTCTCCTCTGGCGAGTCGGGATGCCACCAAGCCCCCAAGCGGCAACCTGCACATGCGGCGCGGGCCGCGGCAGCCAAACAGCGACCAAGCCCCGCGTGTGGAGAAGTTCCAACCGGGCCTCCGGGAGCGAGGGGGAGAGGCGGTCGCTCTCCTCGGGCGGGTCGGGCCACCCTTCTGGGGGCAGCGAGGCTGCGTAAGCACGGCGGCGCTGCAGAGTGCCAGGGGCAGCGCCGCAGAGCTGGCAGCGTCGATCGACGAAGCCATCTGCTTTCGGCAATTTTGAGATCCGCACCTGCGGCCACTGCGCGCCCGTGGCTGCAGAGAGGAGTTTCGAACGACAGCGCCCCGTCCAATGCGGCAGCGTGCTTCCAGAGTTCCCACGTATTTTGGGCAGCAACCCGATCGGGCAGTCGACCAGCGGGGACATGAGGATGAGTTTAACCATCTCGCCGATGTTTCCTGAAAGCACGTGGAAGGCTCGCAAGGCCAAGCCAAGGGGCCTGTGACAGCGGACCACGACGACCGGCCCATGGGCTAACTACCACGTCCTGCGATCGATGTCGCGCGAAGCCGACAACGCGCTCGAGATCCGAGGAGGGCGTCCAATCCTGCGAGCAAGCCAGAAGCGGTGTCGTAATGGAGTCGTTTGCGCCGCGCACGCGGGATCAAAGCGCCCCCGGCGTCCAGCAAAGCGAAACCCACGCCGACGTCACGATTGGCCCCTGGCGGCAGAGCCGCGTTTGAACAACGACCCTAACGCTGTGCATATGCGTGTTAGATGCCCCGACGATGCCGATGCTGCGCAGCATGCCAAGACTTGCCATGGCTCACGCTACGCGAGTCTCGTCGACCCGCTGGCGGCGAAAGGCGTGTATCTGTGGAATGCGCTGCTGAAGCTCTCTGAAGCGATTCCTCAGCACCCCCTGACGGTCGGGTCCGCGCCCGCCTGGCCGAGAGCGTCAGGCACACCTCGAGCATGTCTTCGGAAAAATCCGTGATGCGAGAAGGAGCGTCCATGGCCTCCGCCGAAGTGCCAGACGCAGCAATGGTGAAGTCGCCGACGTGCGAATATAGTCGAAGCATCGGCCGACCAAAATGTCTAGTCCTGGTTTCCGATAGCGGCCTCGGAACAGTAACATGAAATGGTGGCCCATTCGGAGGGGGACTCCCACTCGAGAATTCCTCGCTGATCGAGACTTGCTCGCAGTTTACTCACAGACATAGCCCCTCTCGAGACATCGAAGTTTGCTCGCTTGGGGTGCTCACGCGCTATGCCTGGTAGAGCGTATCGATGACCGACGCTGATTCGTAACATGACATGGGGGCCCTACAGGAGGGGGGGTCCCGCTCGAGACATCGTCCGAATTCTTTTTCAGTCGTGACCCCGGCTCGAGACTTCTTCAAGATGGGTGCCTGAGCGCATGCTTGCGTGACTGTGTGTGTGGGTGCCTGTGTGTGAGTGTGTGGGGGCACTGGCGCTGATGATGACGCTGATGATGGCAAACGACGATGGTGGTGGCGATAGTGATGTTGGTGTTGTGAGTTTGCAAGGAAACGTGATGAAAATGGTGATGATGATGATAAGAATAATAATAAAAGAAATGATGATAATAATAGTAATAATAATAATAATGATGATGATGATGATGCTGATGATGATGATGATGATGATGATGATGATCCGCCGGCCCCTTGGGGTTCATCGGCGTGTGAGATGCATCCCTCTCCCCAAACCCCTCCCCCGGGGCGGGGGCCCGGTCTGGTCGATTTGGAGGGGGGGGTCCGGCCGGATCCCCCGGGGGGGTCATCCGCTCCAGGAAATCCTGCAGGGACTCCTCCGTGGCCTCGAAATGGTCCCAGGACGCCACTCGACGGCCCAAAATGACCTCCACGTGGATTGCGGTGCCCCCAAGATGCCCCAAGATGGGCTCAAGACAGCCCGCGATGCCTCCAAGATGCTCCAAGAGGCCTCGAAGAGGCACCCCAAGAAGGCCTTGAAGAAGCCAAAAATCATCAATTTCCAATGGGAAAACGTGCATTTTCAGCATGCAGACTTTTCGGCCTTCACGGCGGTGAAGCCAGTCCAATCGGCTCCCAAGACCACCCCAATACGTCCGAAGAGGCCCCCAAGAAGCGCCCAAGACGGCCCGAGCGGGCGCCGAGACAGCCCAAGAGGCTCCCAAACCGGCCGGAAAGGGCCCCAAGACGGCTCCCAGAGAAGCCCAAGCGGGGTGGCCCGCGCCGAAAATCCGAACCTTCCGCTCCCACACGGCTCCAGGACACCCCCAGATGCGTCCGAAAGGGCCCCAGAGGCTCCCAAGACGCCCCCAGAAAGCCCCAAAGAGGCCCACAAGAGGCCCAAAGAGTCCCAAAAACGGCCCTCAGGAGGCTTCGAGACTACCGTCGAGAGGCCCGCGAGAAGTTTCCCCGAGGTGGTCCCAGCGAACGCCGCGCAAGCCTCATGCCCACAACCCGGGCCCAGCGGTCAGACTCCTCGCAACGTCCGTTGCTTGCCGCCGTGCTCGTCGCCTGTCTCAGATGGGCGTTTCGGCGGTTCTCTCCGCAGCGCCCGTCCCGCCTATAGCACTTCGCGCAAACCGCCGGATTGCCCCGCTTGAAAACATATTCTTTTGGTCCTTCGACAGATGGCCCCCGTCTGTGAACGCGGGCTTCGACTCGTCCTTTTTCGGGGGACACGCAGAGCATTCAAACTTATTCGCCACCCTGCGCGCGTCGTGGCACGCCCGGCACGCTACTGGCCTATGGTGGATGCCCGTGTGGTGGTACTTTTTGATCTGGTCTGACGTCAAATGCCCCGCGTCCTCGAAGTCCGGGCCGCTCCCGTCCGCGTCCTTCGGGCACGCGGAGCACCTGAACACCCGAGGCGTTTGGAACCCACGTGTGTTCACGCATGTCCCGCTTTCGGGCGTTAGGAGCCCACGTGTTTTCACGGCTGCCCCGCGCTGGGGCGTCAGGAACCCACGCGTTTCCACGCGTGTCCCGCTCTTGGACGTTAGGAACCCATGTATTTTCATGCCTTTCCCGCTCTGGGGCGTTAGGAACCCGCGTGTCGTCGGGGCAACCCACAATGCCTGCCAGACGCCCCACCAGGCCCTAAGAGTTCCACCAAAAACCCAGCGAAGCAACAATTTCCGAATGCCGACGTGGAGGCCCCAAGAAGGCCTCCAGAAAACACCAAGAGCCAACCAAAAGGACCCGAAAAGGCGCCCTAGAAGGCCTCGCAAGCAAAACGCGGCAACCGCGAGTTCCCCAAAGGGGTCGGCGGTGTGGCGTAAGCCTGGGAATCATGGTGATGGTGATGGTGGCGATGCTGTTGTTTCGAATGTGTAATACTATGTGGTAATCTGGACGTGTGCAAAAACAGAGAAGGGGAGAGGAGGGTAAGGAGGTTCTGGCGCGGGAGTGCCCAGAGCAAACAAGAACCCCACCCAGGAAGTGTGGGAAGAAATTCTCAAACCACCGGCCCTCGACCTTCGACCCTGCCCTGGAGGACGAATCCTCATCCCTCCCCTCCTGAAAGGGAACTCTCGGGGGAGACCGGCTCAGGGAGGGAAACGTCGAGCTGGCATCGGCGACGCTCCACCGACAGTTCGGCGACAGGCCCCCCGAGAGCGAGGCCGCACGCTCCCGGGAGGGGTCGGTCGGGCCTCTAGCGGCGAGCAGTGGGCCTGGCCCCCCCCGGAGCCAGTCCCTCCCTGACCCTCCCCAGCGCTGCCCCTGACCTCCTGCTCCCCAGATCCCCGACGCCGTGATTTTCGGGGATCTTCGGACCCGGGCCAGCAGGAAACCAACAAACTGCAATGCGGGGAAAAAAAAAAACTGCAACGCAGGGCTTCGCAAACCTGGGCCAGCCACTATGCGCGGCCGCCTCGCGGCCACGAGCGGCTCGCAAACCCGGGTCAGCCAGAGAGGGTCTTCGCAGGATCCTGCAGGATCTGGTGCCCTGGCTGACACCCGTTTTCATTGACCCCCGTCTCTTGAGCCACGAGATTTTGTAACGACGCGGATTCCAGGAGGTCTCGACCAAAGACGAAGAAGGGACGAGGGTAAAATCGGGGGAGGATGAATCGAAAATCTCCAAGATCCGGCGGCTCTGGAGGATGTCTCACGCGCCGCGGTCTTCTCAGAGCGTTCTGGAACGATCTGAGAGCGTTCGGGAACGCTCCCGAACGGATTTCTCCTTGTCCCAGCCCCGTCCGACTCGACCCCTTCCCTGGGACTGGCTTCTTGTCCCGAGTCTTTGTGACGGTCCCTGGGCCTGGTAAACCCTGAGACCCGACGTTGCAAAACAAAATGCAACATACCAAAACGTTCGACCGCAGCCCCAGACCCTGTCGTTCTTCTGCCTCATGTTTCGAGCCGGACCGATCTGTGAAGGCCCCGGGGACCCGAAATTGCACGGAAACTACCCCTTGCGGCAAACATTGCGACGCCAGGATCTCAGGGAAGGCCCCCAGAGACCAAAACCAACGGAAAACCCTTTTAAACCGGAAACCTTGGAGCCCCGTACACCGTCCGGCCGAAAGCAACGCCGCCGTCCAAAAGAAACATGGGGGCATCTTGTCCCACGCAGTTGTCTGGAATTTGCCGGTTCCCGCGGTCGCCTGGCTGCCTGCCTACTTCTGACTGGAAGGCAGTGCAGTGCGTGACTGGGACCTGGCCGTGGCGGCTTGCAGCAGTTGATGAAGCCATCCTGCGACAGCCTTCTGGCGGCGCGCACAAGGGGGTGACGGGAGTGGTGACGGCTTCTTAGAGGGAGGTTGCTTCTCAGAAGGCGCTAGCCATATCTGAAGGTACGGCCTGCGCCTTCTAAGAAGCGGGGGTGTTTCTAAGAAAGCCCCCCCCCCTCCCCCCACCCCTCTCTGCACGTGCGGGGGTTCTTCCCTTGTCCCTGCCCACGCACCGTTTCGTGCAAGGCACGCTCGCACGCTCGACTCTCCAAACCGGTCAGGCAACTGGGCCCCTCCGCTCTGCCGCCCGCCGGCGGCGGCCCGGGGCTCCGGCCTCTGCCCGCCGGGCGGTGAGCCAGGGGTGCGCCAGCGTGCTGTCTATGGAGAGGCGCTGCTGCGGGTCGAATCTGCGGGGGCCGCGGGGCGCCCGGCAGCCTAGAGGCCTCCTAGACGGGTCCGACCTGACAGGGTCGGAGGATCGCGCCGCATCGCCAGTGCATCGGCAGCGCATCAGGGATACATCGGCGATGCATCGGCGACGTCGGCGATGCAGTGGCGCCATCGGCGTGAAGAACGTCGGACCCCACATAGAGCCGCATCGCCGACGCATCGCCGATGCGGGCTGGATCTGCGGAGCTGGGGGCCGCCAGGAGATCGTTCCCACTTTTCGGCGATAGCCCGATTTATCAGGCGTGGGGGGGGGCCAGCCAACCGATAACCTTACCTGGTCGCCTCGGGCACCCCCACGCATGCTCGCGCGCACCAATACTGCGCACCCCCCCTCGGACATGCGCGCCCGACGGGGGGGGGCACGCGGGCACAATGACCCGGGTGATCGCTGGACCCGGAGAACAATTCCCAGGCAGACTGGACTGGACTGCCACCTGCCAGGGCTGGGCTGTATCGAATCGCGAAGTCGGTTCGGATCGGGAGAGGATCGGATCGCAAGCACATCGCCCCGAAACGCAGCGAAATCGCAAACCTCCTCATTACCTATAGGACAAGACCCACAGACAAATAATTTGACAAACACATTGAACTTCTTTCCGAAACTCTCATCTGAACTGTGCCGGCCTGCGTTGGGCGAAATGCGAGTTCAATTTTGACACCACTGCCCGCCGCAAGTCATGGTTCTCGCGTTGACGCTGGTCTCGCGCCGTGTGCAACGCGGACGGACTACGCGCTGTTTTTGGTTAGTCGCTACTATAATGCGCGCGCGCTTGCGTGCCCGGCGCGCGCACGTGCGCTTCGCGTTTCGCCAGCAGCGGAAGCGCGCGCGATGGCATCGGCGCCCGCGCGCTCCCGCCGGGCGCCATGCGCGCGCGAAGGCATCAGCGCGCGCGCGGAATCCTGGCGCGGATACGAGCCTTCCAGGCGCCGGGCGCGCGGAACGCGCGACGACAAGTCGCTCGACCAAACCGCGTGACAACTTCGCCCCGTGGTCAGCATTCCCTATGCATTTACCATGCGAATGGCGCTTCTGCAGTATTTGTTGCACGTCTTCCAAGAGCATCTTGCCGTCACCACTTCGGATTTGTCGCGGCTCTGCGCCGCCGGCAGATGTGTTCACCTGCCTCCTTTGTTGTGCCATTTGCTGTTGTTGTTTGGTCGTTTGAGTTTGTCGTCGGCCTCCTTTTTTTGTAGTCGGCCTTTTTTGTTTGTCGCGTCGACCCTTTCTTTGTGCCGTCGAGTTGTTGTGGCTGTTGTCGTCTGTTTTTTGGGGTGTCCTTCCACTGTCGGATTCAGAGTCTGGCTCGGGCTCTTCAAAATTTTTGGGGCCCTTCGCGGCACGAACCATCTTCCATTCCTTTCACACTCCCCGCGCACCCATAAACCCGTCCAATAACGATGCCCAGGCGTTGCTCTTGGAAGTTCGATTTTTGGCCCTCGCCCGCCCCTCTTGAGAGACCGCGCGCAACCGCTGGGGGGGGACTCAGCGCTAACAGCGTTTGAGACGCCTGTCGGGCGACGCGGCTTCATTCATAAAAGACAGATGGGTGTAACCATAATGTTTTTGTCTTTCGTCGTCGGTCGTTGTTGTTGGGGCCCTATGGGAACTGAAGGAATGGAAATCGGATCGCCGCTCACGTCCCCAGCTAGCAAATCGAATCACATCGAATCGGATCGTAATCGGAACTGCGTCGAATGCCGAAGCCGTCTGGACGGACAAGATCATCGCTACGATACCATCCACAAAGGAGGTTGAAGGCTCTAGACGTTGCCCCGAGACCAGAAACCTAACACCTAACAGCACCGCGAGCCGATAGAAGATAGAAGGAGCAAGCCTAGCGGGCGAGTCGCGAGAGAGAGGGAGGGGATGGAGAAGAACAATACAGAAACGCAGAAGACACCTGACCATGCGCCACTGGAATGCCTGGCCAGGGCCGCCCTGGACACTGGCCTATCCGCCTGTCAGCGGAGGGAGTTTCAGACGCATGATGCGCTTCGACGAAGTGTCAGCCTCCCATTGTAGACACTAAGAGAAACGGCGAGTCGTCGGCAAAGCGGAAACTTGAAACCATCTACAAGGCGTCAGTTCGCAGAGCAGACGTTTGGAAACACTTGGTCAGGTGCCGGCCGCCCAAGAGGGGACATCTGAACAGATCGGCCAGGTGCCACATTGCCAAAGCAGGCGCCAACAAAGCAAGACTGGGCGTCATTGCTCCGAGGGATGACTTCTGATCGCCATCAAAAACCCAAAGGCTGAGAGCTGCCACGTCTGGTGTTGGCGAAGCAACTCCGCAATTCTCTGCGACGTCGCAGGTGCTGCGTCACCCGCGACTCCGTCACGACCATAGGTCAACACGTGCTTGTTCCAAGGTGCACTCGAAACTTGCGATAACAATTTGCCAAACAAAATGGCCAGGAATCTTTGCTTCCTTCGATTCCGGGCATCCTTCGCATGATTATTGCGGCTTTAGTCCAAGGGTGCCTGCCCTAGCGGGCACATGCGCAGTTGGCTTTGGCGCCGAAGCCCGCGACAAGGCCGTCTCAAGGGCGTGGGGGGATGTCAGTGTACACTCAGAAATCCCTCCGCAAATACTCCCCGCGTCTCTTTGGGCAGGCGTGTCTTCGCGCGCTTCTTGTCGGAGCGCGTTTTTCACAAGGTTCGTCGGCATCATTGTCGGCATAGTGGTTGTAGCCGTCTCACATAGCGATGCCATTACGATTCCCCTCATCCTCCTTATCACCGCCCTCTGTTTCTATCGCCCCCCTCCGACTCCTCTCTCTGCGATCCCTTTCCAATCCTCTCCACGGCCTCCCCCTCCTCCTATTCACTGTTGCTTTCTCCCGTCGTTTCCCGCCCCCTCCTCGTTTTCTACCGCGAAGGAGAAGGTGGAAGAGGAAGGAAGAGAAGGATGGAGGCAATAGTACCCGAACGCGTGAGGGAGTGCAACAAGTTGCGCCCCCGCTTGCTTTTCGAACTTGAGTGGTCCGATTCAATATGCGACTTGTCAGCCCCCGCGAGCGCGCGTCAGCGGGCGCTTGCGTGCGGAAGAGCCAGCGTAACTAGAAACGCGCACTACGCCTCAAAGCGTCATCCCCATGTTGCGGGCCTGGTTCCAAATGAAATTTTCAACGTTCACCACCTACATAACATGCTCTGATACCGCTACTTTGTCGTGCGCTGGCGTAGTTGAACACACGAAACAATGACGTGGTCAAGATGGGTAGACCATGTCTCAACAAATGACGGAACCAGAATAAGAGCAAAACGACTGGTTTCCAGAACCTGGTGTCTCAATTGACCATGCTCGTCTGTTGGGTTGGCATAACATTGACATCCCGCTGCGCGCGCACGCGTACTTGGAAACGTTGAGGTATCAATACATGTTGTAGGCACCCAAACGAGGGAAATATATTAAGCCCACCGTTGAGCTTGAAACTTCAATTGTTCAAGTGTTGGTGGCTCGACATACGCACTGATGTCCAGGCGTTGGCGCGCTGGCGCGCACAAGCGTCAGCGCCAGCGAAATTGGGAATGCGTGTTCGGCGGCCATGTAGTCTAGCGCATGCGAAGTGGACTCAGAATGCACATGAACCTAATAGTTTCCCCCATGCAGCTTCGCGATCTCAAAAAGTTAAACGACTGTTGATATGGCATGAAACAGATGATGCCGCGGCTTGACATAGATTGTCTCCTTCTGCTCCTTCTCCCTCCTCCTAATCATCTCAAGCTGTTGTTTGCGATGGTATGTTTGTCCTCTCTGCCTCCATTTGCTCTCTCGGTCCCTCTCGTTCTCTCCCTCAGTCCCTCCCTCCCTGTACCTTTCTCTCTCTCTCTCTCTCTTGTTCTCTCTCTCTCTCTCTCTCCCTTTGTCACACACTCTCTCTCTCTCTCTCCCTCTGGCTCATAGGCCTTGCATGATCCACTATCTCGTCGCGTCGGCTGTCACAATTATTCCATTATTACACAGCTCTTTAGCAGACTCTTATAAAACAGACTTGAAAGGCATCTCGACTTACAACCACCGCCAAACCAAGCAGGGTTCCGACATAATTCTCCTGCAAAAGATCACCTTGTCACCTTATAAATGGTGCAGGAGAAAGCTCAATAATGGCAGATTCCAAAGTGGTTGGCAACTTTGGATTTCAAGAAAGCCTTTGACACGGTGTCACATTGTGAACTATGGAGGGCTTTAGCTGAGCAAAGCGTTGCTACAGACGATATATCAATTTTGCGCCGCTTGTACGCCAATCAGACGGCAAACGCATCGACAGACAGGGGAAGCACGGAAATTCCAATCCAGCGCGGGTCAAAACAAGGCGACCCAAAAACCTCCCTACTGTTCAACACATTATTGGAAGCTGTTATCCGGAAGGTGCAGATCAAATGGTTGCGTCGCGGGCGTGGCGTCCGCGTGAATTTCGCAGACGCCCGGCTCGCAAATCTACGATTTGCTGATGACGTTCTTCCGTTTGGGACTTGTTTGAAGCAAATAAAGCTCATGTTGCGGATAGTGCGGGACGAGGCCGCCAAAGGTGGACAACACATTATTGGAAGCTGTTTTCCGGAAGGTGCAGATCAAATGGTTGCGTCGCGGGCGTGGTGTCCGCGTGAATTTCGCAGACGCCCGGCTCACAAATCTACGATTTGCTGATGACTTTCTTCTGTTTGGGACCTGTTTGAAGCAAATGCAGCTCATGCTGCGGATAGTGCGGGACGAGGCCTCCAAAGTTGGACTCTGGCTTCACCCCGATAAGACCAGGATCATGCACAAATTGTTCCAACGACGACCACGAGCGAAGCCGGAGTTTGTGTCCGACCCCGACATGAAAGTAGAAATCTTGCCACCAGGAGCTTCGCACAAGTATCTTGGCAGGAAGTTCACTTTACAGGACCCTCACGCAAGCGAAATAGACAGCATAAATTCGGCCGTTTGGCATACACTTCCTTCGCTCAAGCATGATATTACTTCCCGTGCTTACTCATCACATGGCAGGATGCGCTGGTTCAGCGGCACGGGTACACTAACAGTACTTCATGGTTGCGCGCCATGGGTTCCCACGAGAGACTTAAAAAACCGCCCGCGACGAGCGCAGCGCCAAACGCTGCGGAGGGTCTCGGGTGCTCCTCGACGACGACGAGAAGCCGCAGACGGAGGCAACTCGGCCGGACCAGGTTGCCAAGACCATGTGGGCCCCCTTTTTCTCGAGGCCAGAGGGGGCGCAGAGACGCCCTTCCAGTAGCAGTTCGCCCGGCAGCCGGGCCGCGACAAACATGCCAGAGGCCGCGCTTGAAAATTCTCAAGCCAGGCGACTCGACATCCCCAGATACCTTTGCGCAGATCCGCAGGGTGGGAATACGAGGGAGGCCGCTTCAGCAATCGAGGCCGCGGGGGCGAGAGACGCCGCGACCTTCAAGACGGCCCACTCCTGAACCATCGGCTAACCAATGCGTGCTGAATACTGACAATGTGAGCTCCCATTTTCTCGAGGCCAAAGGGGGCGCAGAGACGCCCTTCCAGTAGCAGTTCGCCCGGCAGCCGGGCCGCGACAAACATGCCAGAGGCCGCGCTTGAAGATTCTCAAGCCAGGCGACTCGACACCTCCAGATACCTTTGTGCAGATCCGCAGGGTGGGAATACTAGGGAGGCCGCTTCAGCAATCAAGGCCGCGGGGGCGAGAGACGCTGTGACCTTCAAGACGGCCCACCCCTGAGCCGTCGGCAAACAAATACGCGCTGAATACTGACAATGTGAACCCCCTCTTTGCTCGAGGCCAGAGGGAGCGCAGAGACGCCTTTCCAGCAGCAGTTCGCCCGGCAGCCGGGCCACGAGAAACATGCCAGAGGACGCGCTTCAAGATTCTCAAGCCAGGCGACTCGACATCTCCGGAATTGCTCCGAAGCGCCGACTGGCCGTGGGCACCTGATTATCCGAATGGTTTGACAACTGAGCTATAGTACTGGTTAGCCACGCAGCGAACGAAGGCAGAGCACAGCGCAGCGGGATAGGGCTCTGCCGGCTGACTGTATTTGCTGTCAAATATGCACGCGCCCCTTGCGTGATAAAGACCGGACGCCGCGGCCAGGACATTTCTTCGAAAGCGACTGGCAAGCGATATGAGCGCCCATGAAGCACGTGCGCTTGCGCCAGGGAGCTCCCCAGGCGTAGTTGCCTGTGACGCTACGCTGAATGCTGGCCGACCGAGAAAAGAGGTCGAAGGCACGAAAGTTCCACAACAAGCTCGGATGCGCGTCCTCAACTACACAGGGGATGCATGGCTTTCGGCACAGGTCTAAAATGGCTGGCAGCGACTTTGCGCAAACGATTGGCTGAGCTGACTGTCCATTGGTCAGAAGCGGGCAGGGAAAGAAGGCCGCGTGGGAAGGCGCGCGAACGGACAGGCGAGAACAGACAACGCAGGGCAGATAATGAAGAGCAAGAAGGGGCGAGCCAGATGAAGAACAGGAGGCCAGCTCGCACCCACCCTCGAATTGTCCGAACGAGTCTTCTTTCAGAAGATCGAAGTGCGGTCCATGCCTGACCTCAGTCTCGACTACCATGATATGCCGAAGAGCTGCACGGCGCCGCAAGGCGCTTTCTAAACGACCTGGGCCTGAACAGATCTCGAGCGCAATCTGATTCCCAGCCACCCGCGCAGACCGCCCGGCCTCCTCAAGATCCTCGAGCCGATGCCGACGGCCACGACGAGGGCCTGCTGCCGCGCGTCGGCCGAGGCCAGCTGCATCAGGGTTAGCGCGAGCGCGCTCTGGCAACGGCACGCGCTGCTGTCGTCCGCCCCGAACCCGCGCTTCGCGGTCTCCGCTGAGGGGCGGTCCCGCGCGGCATACATCTGCCACGGCCCGGGAGAACTGGGCGGCCCAGATCGCGAACCTCGGGTCGAGCAACGGCGGCGCAGAATCTCGGCCGACTCGGGGCAACGCCAGCGGGCCCTCGGCCGCCGGGACTCCAGGTGGTCGTGACCGAGCAGCTTGGCCGACTCGCCCGTCCTCGGCGGCAGGGCGCCCTCTGCGGCAAACAGCAGGGGCGGCCGAATCGACCCTATCCTCTGGCCCCTGACGGGAGGTGGCCGCGCGCCCCTCGCCCGCAGGCGAAGGATCTCCGAAAAACGCGAGCGAAACGCGAGATCCTGAACGGCCGCGCCGGCGACGCGCCGCCGCGCCAGGTCGCCCCGCTTCTTCGCCGACAGCGGCGAAATCCGCCAGGGCAGGGGCCACCGGGGGCGGGGGGGGGCGGCCTCCACGAACCCCGCCGGCGCTAGCCAGGCCCGAGGCAACACGGGCGACTAGGCCGGCAGGCCGCGCCGGAAGTGCTTCCACGCAGTCAGCAGGAGCAAGCCCGCGGAGCTCGCGGGCCCTGCGAGGGACTGGTCGACGAGGTGGACCTCCTTCGACTGCGCGAGGCGGTAGGCCCCGTGCATCGAGCGGGCGGCGATCTGGCGCCTCCACGCGCGCAGCGGTGCAAGGCGAACGCGCGCAGCGGTGCAGGGCGCCCCCGCGCGCGCGCAGCTTTGCCGCCGCCAGATCGCGGGCCCCTCGAGCTGAAACGCGCTGTTCTCGCCGACGAGAAGAACTTGATCGCAATCCCTGCGGCGGCGCGTCGCCCTCGCAGTTAGGAGGTCGGGCTCGACCCCGCGGGCCGGAGCAGCACGGCGCCCCGCGAGCCGCCTGCAGCGCGCTATCCGAGGCGTCGCCTGCGGCGCCAGCAGGAGCGCAGTCTGCGCGGCGCAGTAGCCCGGGGCGGGACCGACCTCAGCGCCGAAGGCGCGGCCGAGCCGGGCAGCAAAAGCGCGGGCTCGTCGGTCTCGCCGGCCGCAGCTGCCGCCGCCCCGGGGAGCGAGCCGCGGCGCCAGCAGCGGCGGATCAAGTCCGTCGGGCTTTCGCTGCCGAGTGGAGGCCTCGGCGCAATCGCTAGCCTTCCGCCTTGAGCCGCGGCCTGCGGGATTGCGCTCTGCAGAGAGCCAGCGCCAACAGGACAACATGCCGAAGGCCAAGTTCAGGCCGGCGATATGTTTGAATATCCGCATCAACTTCGAAGACGATCGACCCGTAGAGATGGCTAGGACGCTAGCCATCGCGCCACCCAGGAAGAGGCGGCGCCTCCCGAAATTAGACAGGGAGCGCATCTTGTGGAGGTGGGCCAGGACCACGACGCGGCCCTCGAGGATCAACGGAGCCTCCGATCGGGCCCATCTCTTGGCGAGGACCCGGTTCCAGATCCCGCCCCAAACGTCGGGGGCGATGGCGGGGGGCAGAATGGGCCGGGATGCCGCGGGGGATCAGCGGGGACCTCAGGGGCAACTCCATCGGCAGGAAAAGCCTCCAAGAGTAACCAGAGCTAGAGAATGATCCCGAGAGCGATAGCCTAATTCGTCTTGACGGGAAAACCTCCACCTCTCATTGTACTGACCCATCTGTTCCACCAAGCCCTGCGGGAGCCTCTGTCGCACTATGCGCCCGCCCCAAGACGACACATCTACCGCCAAGACCTCCTCCGCCCAGACCGCGCCTCGGTCCCGAGACGTTAAGATGTTCCGCGAAGACGCCCAGCGAAGCTCTCGGCGAATAGAAGCCCACAGACGTTGGCGACGGGGGCCAGCGTCAGCTGCACAAGGCGGAGACACGCACAACAACCCACGCCGCGAGAGAGAACGAGTAGTGTAGTGCGACAAGATGACGGTGAGTCTCCCCGCTCACGGATCCACCCTGCAGAATCTGTCGGATAGCCAAACGAATCCACCAGGCCACCCGAGGGCTCGCCCCCGCCGTTGCGATCCCCCCCGAAAGCCCCATAGCGGCAACCCCTGCCCCGGCTCCGACAGGATGGGTCGGGGGATCAGCGCGACGGGGCTCTCGCTCGACATCAGAGGCGACCGATCTGACCACCTCTCGACCCCTAGCGAAGGCAAGGAATTCGTCGACATGCTCCGCGCTAGCAAAGGGGGGCAGGCCAAGGGGGGGAGCATGATCAACCACCGCGTTGTTTTCAGTCACCACTCGCACTGAACGGGCTCGAAACTCGAGCGCTTGCTGGCAGGCCCACAAAGACAGCTTCCACCCCGTAGGACTCACTTTCAGCACAGGAAGAATAACCGGCAGGACGCCAACCAGATCGGCTCGGACCCGAGGAAGACAAAACATGTCCCTGAGAGGTCCGGGCAGCTGCACGCTGTAGAACGCATTGACGATATCGACCGAGCCGACCTGGATGGGAGAGCCGCCGTCTACTTCGATAGCCGAAAAGGCAGCTCCAGACGCCAGGGGAACTGGATCGCTATCTCGAAAATGACACGAAGGTAATCGGCCGCCCACGATCAGCCGGTACTTCGTTGACTTCTTAATGACGAAGAAAAGCCCGCACGACACCTCCTCAAACAATGTCCACTCAATCAGATCGCAGTCCATCATGCGGCGCACCAACTCCGCGTACAACGATGGCGGCCTCCTGAGGGCGGTGCCCGAATAGGGCCTAGCAGGCCCTCGCAGAAGAACACTATCCCTGTCCATGGATTCTGGCAAGCGCAGATGAATTACACAATCAGCAATATCTTTGCCTCGGTCGCCTGCAAGATGCTTCAGCGATCGAAGTAGATCCAGCAGCCGGCAGGTCCACGTGGACAGTGTGCTTGACGAGGGGAACGGTCACGGCGCGTTCGCCATACGTACTCTTCGCCCGGAGCGCTCGAAGGGCTCCTGGGCCGCTCATGTCACCAGGAGGAGGCCCCATGGCACGCGCCGAACGCCGAATCAGGTTGAGACTCGCCTGTTGGCTGGCAGTAAGTCCACGGGACGTCCTCGGGCAGCAGGAGCCAATATACATGTCATTGAGCGTGCAAACTATCTCGTCACACATCACGTCAACGTGGTTGGTGCGAAGGAGTCGACGACGCGTGGAACTGCAACGCTGTGCTGCAGCTCCAGTCTGGTCTCTGGTCAATACTGTTTGCAGGCGGGGGAGAGGCAACAGGTTGCGCTGACGCTCCTCCGCCCAAAACTGATGGCTGGTAGCAGGCTGCTGGTCGGACGCCGTCTCGACGGGCCCTCCCCGAGGTACATGCTGAAACCAGGGCTGGATGGGAGGCGCGTCCAGCCCAGGAGGGAAAAACATCATCCCTGCTCCTTATCTGTGTTCCCTTTGGGGTTTTGCTGCGCAAGCTCCGACCACTCCTCACGCGCCCTGCCGACTAGCATGAGGATGGCCGCGACGCGGTCGACCCTGTCTGCCGTGGGGGTGATGAGGTCTGGGCAGATCGTCGCAGCCCCCGAGTCATTCGTCATGCCCAGAGAAATGGCCGCCACGTCGAACACCGCGTGCTGAGAAGAGGCCGTAAGGCCTCTTTCCCTTGTCCTTGCCAGCGGCCCGCAAGAAGGAGAAATCCATGTGGTACCAGTACTCAACCAACTGCGCCCGCTTCGTGGACAGCTCGAGCCCCATGCCGCTGCTCACGCCCGCAAGGTCGTAGCTCACGCCCTCGTCGAGGTAGAGTTTCGTAATGCTGCGGATCTCCTCACTCCAATCGCCCGCTCGCGGGCTGAGAGCCAAGGTGACCTCGTGCACCGTGCAGAGACCTGCACACACACATACACACACACACACACACCTGGAGCAGATCACTAACTGGATTCATCCCCGGCAGCTGCGAGCGGCTAAAGATACTACGCGGCCGCCACCGTCGGTCCCGAGCCTCCACACCCGGGCGACTCAGCAGGTCAGCCCAAGCCGACGGTCCCGGCCCTGGCGCCCCCAAACGGGCGGGGCGGCTGCTCACCGAAGGGTACGTCCACAGGCACGAGTAGGGCAAGCACTCAGGGTACGCTGACGCCGCAGGGCAACGGCTGAAATAGGAGAAAAAGCCCGCTACAAACCAGTCGGCCGCCCGCTTGAGCAATCAAGGCCGCGGGAGCGAGAGACGCAGCGAAGTACAAGACGGCCCACCCCTGAGACATCGGCTAACAACTACGTGCTGAACACTGACAATGAACCAACATCTACGGCAAGCAGTACTTCGAGCGATGCCGGCGCGCATGGCACCGCATTAATGGAAGGCGACCAACAACGCGAAGATGATCACATAGAGCCCTGGGTCGACTGGATCAAGCGGACTACGCATGAGGTACAACACTTGCTGGAGAAGCTGAACGTTGACGACTGGATCACTACCCAACGAAGCAGGAAATGGAGATGGGCGGCACAAGTTGCATCGGATCACCATAATTGGACCTATAAGGCCTTACTATGGGAGCCCGCCCTGCACGCGGAGTCCCGACAACCACTTCGCAGACAAGCGAGACCCGAGACGCGATGGGTTAATGATATACGGAGGAACGTGGAGCTATTCGTGGGCACTCATGCTGGGACAGATGAATGGATCGACGTGGCCAGAACACCAAAGTGGAATGAACTGGATACTAGTTTTGTACATCATGAGTGAGGCTGTTCGACGTGATACCCTTGCCTGTCGCTTCAGATAAATTGTCTTTTCGGGCGCGCCGGCCCCGACCCGCTTAGTCCCCTCGAGTGGACACTGTTGCGGGCACCGTCACCGTCATGTCCTGGCTAATGTCTGCAGATGCGATGTCGAACGTGGCCACGGAGATATCGTATACCTGCTCACCACCGAGATCAGACGGCAATGGCAACTCAGGGGCAGTGGCAGCGGGTGCAGTATACGAGAAGGGACGGCAGTGGCAGCTCGGCTGTGCGAGAAGGGACGGCAGTGGCCGAAGTGGCGCTATGGGAGAGGGCACGGCAGGAGTTGGGCCGCACGAGGGTCACGATGAGGTCGAGGAGAGCGACGAGGAGCCCGAGGAGAGCTACGAGTCGGTGGAGAACGACGAGATGGCGCTGGATGATACAGAGGAAGAGGATGAGAGCTCAAAGACGTCATCAGCTACAGGCGAGGGCCAGCAAGTGCGAGAAGAAGCAGCAGTGGCAGCGGGCAAAGGAAGACCAGTGGTGCAAAAACTTCATCAGCTACAAAGGGAAGGGGCGGAGGCGGCAAGGGCTCCGGCCGACACAACAGTGTACTGCGAGCGCCTGGCCTACGTCGGGAATCTGTCCTACGACATTGACTGGTGCACCCTGAAGGACCACATGAAGCAGGCAGGCACGGTGGAATACACCAGAGTGATCACCGAGGACGGCACCATCGACGGCAGATCGATGGGGTATGGACACGTGCGCTTCTCCAACGATGCTGAGGTCCAGCAGGCCATCGAAACTCTCGCAGTGACGGCGCACATGGGTCGCAGGATACTTACCAGGCGGTGCGGGATGGCACGAAATGCCAACATATTCTTTGTTTGCATCACATGTGGACCAGCAGTGGCATGCGTGTGAGAAGAGCCGGCAGTGGCAGCAAGCCGGGGAATTACCATGCATCATTAAGCACAAGCGTGGACTCGCGCGCGCAAGCAGGGCCGGCAGTGGGGCGGGAACAATGGCACCACGGGCGGTCCGCGGACACCGGCTGTGCTCTCGGGTCGTGGAGCCAAAGGGGGGCTGCCATAGCAGTGCGGGAGAGAGAAGAGCGAGAGATGGGGAGGACTGGAAAGAAGGGGGAGAGAGGAGAGGGAGGGAAGAGTGAGGGAGAAGGAGGCGGAGGGATGTCTTCACACAGAACCGTTAAGTATGAGGCCCTGGAGTCCACAAAAAACAACCTTCCGAGCGGGGTTGGCGAGTGAGAAAATTGTGATACCAACCGAATACGGAGACAAGCAGTAGGGCGACACGGCCAAGCGGCGGCGACAGAGGCAAAGGCAGCGGAGCGCGTTCATGCTCTCTACCCACCGCGAGGAGGACACAGACAATACCGACTGTCGCAGAGAAGACAGGGCGAGGTGGAGAGCGGAGGCAGCGCGAGTGCTCTCCTGGAGCGACCAGGAGGACGTACGCCCGTCGGGGACGAGGCGCGTGGAGCCAACCGGCTGGCGAGGCAGCTGAGGCGAGTGGAGGAAGGAGGAAGCAGACAGCGTGGCAGGGCTGCGTGGGTCAGCGTCTGGGACGAGGGAGTTGGGGCCGAGACAAGTCCTTAGAAAAACCGCGATTCTGACAACTGGGCTCTTCGGCTAGGGCACTCCGCCGAGCTGTCGGCGATAACCGGGGGATTGGTGAAGAGGAAACTGCCGAGCTGACCAACAGTGTACCGCTCAGGGTCCTGCGCGCACACAAATCGGGCCGCGCGTGCAGGGCCTCGACCCCGCCTGCTGCCGCCGTCGGTGGGTGCAGCGCGGTGCGAGGCTGGCCCTTTTCTGGGCGGCTGCGACGGGCCCGGGCCCGACGCCCGCCACTTGGGGCAGCCTCGCGCCACGCCTGCGCGCAGCAGACACGGTGGAGGGCGGGAGAAGGAACGCGCGCCAGGGCGGCGCCCGCCGCGCGCGCGTTCGCGCGCGCGCGCGGCGCCTTCTCAATTTACAATACGCCTGCGAAGCGAGCGCCGCGGGGGGCCAGCGCAGCCTTTCCCCGCGGCGCGCAGCGCCTGAGACAATGGTACCTGCGAAACGCGTGCGCCGCGGGGGTGCAGCGACTACCCCCCCCGCGGCGGCCCCTCCCTGGCGCGCGACGGCGCGATGACCCGCGCCTGCGCAACGAGGCCACGGTCGCGTCGCGCTGACGCGCGCGCGACCTACGCGCAAACGTGGCCGATTTGTGCCCGCGTACATCGGTGGGCCTCCGCGTCTAGGAGCCTCGACCCGCTGCCGCCGTCGGTGGGTGCAGCGCGGTGCGAGGCTGGCCCCTTCTGGGCGGCTGCGACGGGCCCAGGCCCGACGCCCGCCGCTTGGGGCAGCCTCGCGCCACGCCTGCGTGCAGGACCCAATGTCACACGGCACGCAGGCGACACGGGCAGGCAACGCGCGCACACCCGCTGCCGACCGCGCGGGGGCAGAGCACGTTCGCCGGCGCGCGCACGCGCCCACGCCCAGGACCGAGCGTGGCGGCGCTGGCCGCCGGCGCCTAGCCGGCACCGTTGTCTGAATCAGCCTCGAGCATATGCGCCTGGCGCGTGCAGAGCGCCGCGGCGCGGGCGGCGGTCACGCGGCTCCGCCTCCACGACCGCGTCCCTCTCCAGATCGTCGCGGTCGAGATACGCCATGAAGGCGCAGGACCGCCACTCTCCAGCCGCGAGGATCTCGGCGAGCGTCGCGCCCGCCTCCTGCAGGTCCTTAGCGTGGCCCCTGCGGAGGTCGCGCAGCCGAAACAGGCCCGCTTCCTGGACACCGAGGGTTGCGAGCATCTCGCGCAGGGCACGCAACGCGGCGGCCGCCGAGATGCCCTCAAAAAGTCCGCAGCCCGGCGCGCGCCGCGCTAACCAGGGGCCCAGGGCATGCACGGGCCACGTGGCGCGGCACGATGCGCACCAGCACCTCCGCGTCAAGCGACTGCCTTGTGCCTTGTTCTTCCGCCGACGCAGCAGCAGCGTGAGCTCCGCTGCGCCCAGCACGAGCGCCGCTTGAAAGGACGGCGAATCGCCGGCGTCGTCCACGCGCACGGCCGGCAACGCCTCGCTGGGGGCCCTCAGCAGAAACGTATAGGCGAGAAGGAACGCGCGCCAGGGTGGCGCCCGCCGCGCGCGCGCTCGCGCGCGCGCGGCGCCTTCTCAATTTACAATACGCCTGCGAAGCGAGCGCCGCGGGGGGCCAGCGCAGCCTTTCCCCGCGGCGCGCAGCGCCTGAGACAATGGTACCTGCAAAACGCGTGCGCCGCGGGGGTGCAGCGACGACCCCCCCCGCGGCGGCCCTTCCCTGCCGCGCGACGGCGCGATGACCCGCGCCTGCGCAACGAGGCCACGGTCGCGTCGCGCTGACGCGCGCGCGACCTACGCGCAAACGTGGCCGATTTGTGCCCGCGTACAACGGTGGGCCTCCGCGTCTACGAGCCAAGCGGCGGCGACAGAGGCAAAGGCAGCGGAGCGCGTTCATGTTCTCTACCCACCGCGAGGAGGACACAGACGATACCGACTGTCGCAGAGAAGACAGGGCGAGGTGGAGAGCGGAGGCGGTGTGAGTGCTCTCCTGGAGCTACCAGGAGGACGTACGCCCGTCGGGGACGAGGCGCGTGGAGCCAACCGGCTGGCGAGGCAGCTGAGGCGAGTGGAGGAAGGAGGAAGCAGACAGCGTGGCAGGGCTGCGTGGGTCAGCGTCTGGGACGAGGGCGTTGGGGCCGAGACAAGTCCTTAGAAAAACCGCGATTCTGACAACTGGGCTCCTCGGCTAAGGCACCCCACCGAGCTGTCGGCGATAACCGGGGGATTGGTGAAGAGGAAACTGCCGAGCTAACCAACAGTGTACCGCTCAGGGTCCAGCGCACACACACACAAGCACACACGCACGCACACACATTCACATGTATACTTACATTCACACGCACACACAGCCATACACACACCACACACACACACTGTTGTCGCAGACCTGGCGAGCGCGCGGGTCGGTCAAGCGGCCCAAGGGCGCTGGACGGCGAATTAAGCCCATCTACAAGCGCAACGCGGCCGTAGAGAGCAGAAACGGGGGGGTCTGAGACTAAGAAAGATTTCGTCCGCGGGAGGAAGCACAACACGCACCTCCCGCGAGAGAGAAGAGCTCAGAGGCGATTAGTGCGGTCGCGCCGCGTCGTTCGCGATTTGTCTGGCCGTTTCGCTAGGGACATCCTCGGAATTCCGAAAATCTGTGGCACCCCTCACACAAATCGTGACGTCAGGGTCCAAAAACACATGGGAATTTCAACAGTTTAACATCAAACCTTCAAGAACACATGGTAATTTCAATAATTTGTGACCCCGATTCTCAGATAATGGCGGCTTCGCCTGAGACATCCTCCTAAATTCGAGCCCCGACGTACCTTCTGGTACCGCAGACCCTGCCGCGGAACCTCCTGGAGGCCTCCTGGAATCTCCTGGGGCCTTCTGGGGCTTTCTGTACTTTCTGGCACCCCAGACCCCACCTTGGAGCCTCCTGGGGGTCTCCTGGAACCTCCTGGGGCCTCCTCGGGCTTTCTGTACTTTCTGGTATAACCCCAGACCCCACCTTGGAGCCTCCTGGGGGTCTCCTGGAACCTCCTGGGGCCTCCTGGGGCCTCCTGCGGCCTCTTGGGGCCTCTTGGGACCTCCTGGAGCCACCTGGGGTCTCCTGGGGCATCCTGAGGCTGCCTGGGGCCTCCTGGGGCCTCAGAACTACATGTTTTTTTGGTCGCGGCTGCGAAGCAGAGGGCAGGCGGCGAGAGGGGGTCCAGGGCACGGGCCAGCCGAATTAGCTACAAAGCACCACGCGAGCCGGCCGGGCCAGCACTCAGAACCGGCAGCAACTATATGCACACACAGAGACACACATCACACCCATCACATCACACGCTACACACACAACACCTACAACGCACAGAAGACACGCACAACACAGAGCACACATCACCCACCCACACACACACACACACAACACTCACAATCCTGGGGCCTCCTGGAGCCTCTTCCGGTATCCAAGTCGGGCCTCCTGAGGCTTCCTGGGGGGTCCTGGTATACACATCGCAAGGTGGCACCCCCACTTGCGTTCGAGTGCGACCTCGCTATTGCATTTCACTCCCAGCAGCTATCCTCCTCCTCTTCTCCTCCTTCTCTTTCCCTCCATAAGTTGTCTGGTGCAACAAATCGGCTGGTGGGAATCGTGCTTACACTGCTCTTCTTAATCGCTTCGCTCACTCCACCAGCCCATCTTGCATCACTTGTATGAGCCTGGGCACACACGTGCCAATTGTGCATATATATATATATATATACACATGTATAAGCATACATTTGTATATGCACATATAGGTATGTTGTTTTAATTGTAGTATACGTACATGTGTATGCACGTGTATGTGCATGTTTGTTTGTGCATGCATGGGTGCATGTCTAAAGACATGTGCAAATGCATGAGCATGCACATGTACACGTGCATGTACAGTAATGTGTACATGTGGATGCGTTTGTGTATGCAAATGTATATTATATCTGATTATACGTATACACATGTGTGCGCATGTTGTCTTCTGTGACAAAGTCGGCCTTCTCAAAGGCAAGGGCCTTCTCAGAAGCGATCGGCCCCATCTTAGAAGCTTCTGGGGGGGCCTCTCGGAGAGGCAGGAGGACCCTGCCATCTCTTGCGCGTCGCCGACCTCCGAAACCTCCGAACACCTCGAGGGACCTCCGAAGCAGAAGAGGCCCCGAAGACACGCGACGACACCTGAGAGTCTCCAAAGACGGCCGCGCGGCCCAGGAGGAACCGCCAGAACACCACCGCAAAAAAAGCTCCAGGACCAAGTCAAACATGCTGTGGTCGCACTGAGGGCAATCGCGCACCGCGCCCGTAGCTTCAGCGGGCGCGGCGCAAGAAGAATTCCAGACAAGCCAGCAGGGGCAGACGAGGGCGGCCGTGCAGGACGGAAGAGAAAGGCGGCGCACTCGAGCCTTGAAGGACTCCGAGCAATGTGGCGGCCTGACGCTGCTGTGACACACTGTGCGGTGACCCTCGGAGTCCCCAACCACTTCACCGAACAGTCCGTCACCGCACCGCGCCGCACTGGGACCTCGGAGGCCCCAGTCGGCCCAGACATCCTCGGATATCGACCCCCCAGTGTCAAAACCGTGCGGTGATCCCGAAGCCCCAATATCTCACCACACGGTGTGGTCACCGCACCGTGTGGGGGGCCCGAAAGCTATTTTTTCAAATCCGAGATCCCTGGAGCTCTGGGCCACTTCCTGGGGACTGGCTTTACGTCCCCGACTTGTGGACGGTCCCGGGGCTAGGCGAGGGCTCCATTGGGCCGAACACTGCGAGGAACCTTTGCCGGCTTGTGCCATACGTTGGAGGTGCAGGGGGTCGCCTCCTGGGGAGCAACGCAGGCAGCTCCGAAAGACCTCCGAGGCCCAAGGCAACTGCGGCCAGTCGGCCGACTCGGGGGGCGGTCGCGCGCGCGCGCGCGGGGGCGGCCAGCCTCAGCAGCGCGCGGATAAACTCCTGCCGGGCGGCCCGCTGAGCGAGGCCCCGAGGGATGACCGCGGCTCTTCGTCGTCCTCCTCCTCCTCCGTCTCCGCCTCCGCCCCCTCCCCCTGCTCCTCGACCTCGTCCTCGTCTTCGTCATTGCCGCCCTCCTCTGGCACCTCCGTCAAACTCTGCTGTCTTCGTCCTAGTCCTCCTCAACCTCCTCGCCCGGGTCCTCGTCGTCGTCCTCCTCCTCGCCCTCGTCCTCCTCCTCCTCCTCATCCCTGCCACATTTCGAACCCCCAATGTGTCCTCCTCCTCCTCCTCCTCCAACCTCCCCTTCCTCATCCTCCTCCTCCTCCTCATCATCATCATCATCATCATCAGCAACATCATCAGCATCACAACAGCAACATCACCACCCCAACCGTCACCCGCGTTCTCCTGATTCGTAGTTTTCACATCGTCTTTTGTCTCCTGATATTCCTCGTCCTCTTTGTCCTCGTCATCGTCCTCATCTTCGACCTCCCAGTCAAGCTCCTTTTCTTCTTTGTCATCCTGTTGACCGTCCTGCTTGTCCTTCCTCTCGTTCCCCCCATAGTCCTGGTCTCCTCCTTCTCCTCCTCCTCCACCTCCTCCTCCTCCACCTCTTCTGCGAGACAGAAAATGTTGACCGAAAGACCGATCCCATCTCGAGCATCCGTGAATAAGGGCAGTACGATGATGTGAAGGACTATGCCACTGTCCTGGAGTCAGATTTGTGGTTTCCTATGCCCATGAATCGACTCACAGTGGCACATGGCACAGTAAAGGATAGATTATGTATGGGGGTTCAGTCACACACACACACACACACACACCGTCGAAAAAAAAACGCCCGCGAGAAGCCAAAGCGAAACGCACATTATGGGGTTCGGGAACGAAAAATCAACCTTGCCTGACGACACGCCGCTCTGTAAAGCCGCGGTCGGCAGGTGCGGTAAGGACTGCCACTCACTACACCCCTCTGCCCACCCGTAGCGCAAACCCCAAAACAATGTTCTAACGCCGGCGGAGGTGGAAGGGCGTGAAAGGCACGGTGGAACAAGGGAACTGAATATCACGCGTGGCCGGAAGTGTCCTTCGGCAGACCCGAGTCGGACGGACGGAGGCCAACAAAGGAAAACAGATGCCGCGATCACCAGACCCAGACGCGCCAGCCTTCGGGACACTCGTCAAGGCGCGCAATCACCAGAAACCTGTTTACAGCGCGGGCCGTTCAAGTTGGCAACCATACAGCTGCTGCGGTGGTCTGGCCTAGCACGCGCAGGGTCTTATCTCAGCAAAGCTGTCCTAAAGCAGCACTTCGATCGCTAAACGAGGGAAATCATGTGTATGAGATGGCGCGTTGCTTCACTCATCACACAGTGTCACATTCTCAATCAAAACATGCTGCACCGATAACGCAGTCCTCAAAGCAATCCCAGTATGTGTGTTAGCTCTCAATGCTGCATGCAAAACAACAGAAGTATGTAATTGATAGCACAACGTTATTTGATGTCGTGTGTATAGATCACAAAACTCCCACTATAGATGTCAGTCGGTGTTTGATAGTCAAAGCGAAATCCATCTCAGCAACCTGTATGACAGTAGCACACATCGACGCATGACACCAGGGAGGTACGATATCAGGTTGGCAAGTGATCTGCGTGGTGCTAAATGTCGCGGTTCATCATGGACTGAGCTGTGGCAAGTTGGAGGGTGCAAGGACAGATTGCAAAATCACCAGCGTGCTGCAAGCACATTCATTGAACTTCGATGTGCGTGGTCGCTCATCTTTTTGGCGGGGCGCTGCCCAGTACTCGCGTAGATCGTGGCAGCAGCAATGCCATTGGCCAGCAAAACCACGTGAACCTGCAAGGTCGGACGCGAAGCGGCAATCGCCGCACTCTGGATCCGCAACGCCAATCACTTCCACTCCTAGCTCCAACACTGGGCACCCCATTGTGTCATCCTCGTCGCGCGCGTTGCCGACGTGGCCAGGTCGCGGCGGCCCTCGCATGGGCACGGCAGGATGGTCGTCGCTGCCGCGGGCCTCTTCGGCGAAGGCGGCTTGGGCGCAGCTATTGCAGCAGCGCCTGGCTCAGTGGCGTGCGATCACGCCGCGTCTTCCTTCGTTTACTCCCAGATTGTCCTCACACTCCTGCTCCTGCTCTTGCTCGTCAACATCCACTATCATCCTCAACCACCTCATCCTCATCATCCTCATCCTCATCGACATCATGCTCCTCCTCATCATCATCAGCATCACCATCATCACCATCAGCATCAGTATCATCATCATCATCATCATCATCATCATCATCATCATCATCATCATCAGCATCCGCATCATCATGCGAGTAATCATCATCATCACTATCATCCTCATCATCATCATAATCATCCTCAGCAGCATCAGCATCAGCAGCAACAGCATCAGCATAGCCATCAGCAACATCATCATCATCATCATCATCAATATCACCAACAACATCATCACCAACATCATCATCATCATCATCATCGTCAGCATCGTCATCCCCATGATCGCCATCACCATCATCGCCATCAGCATCATCAACAACACCACCACCACAAACATCACCATCATCATCATCATCACCATCATCATCATCATCATCATCACCATCATCATCATCATCATCATCATTATCATAATCACCATCATCATCATCATCAACAAGGCGCAAAACCGGACTGCGGCGCCGTGCCAACGGGTCGCTGTCCAGGTTCGCGCTGTATGGCGCAAGCCCGGACTGCGGCCCCGTCACCGCTCACCCCACCCCCACCGCGACGCGACGCGACGCGACAAATCTCTCTACCGTGATAGGTTCTTGTACCCTCAGCAACACGACTGGTACCATTGGAAATTGCAATCAAAAGGTGATAGGACCACCGCAGCAACAAGGAATCCTGCGAAAGGAACGCTTCCACTGGACTCCTGCAAAATGCATATGTTTCTTATGCATCCTCGAATGGAATCCTTCAGAAGGATCCCTGAATAAGGCAGCCTCGTTCGGACTCTTGGATAAGGAATCCTTCATAAGAGTTCCTGGATAAGGGATCCTTCATGAGAGCTCCGAAGGATCCCTCAGTGATGAACCTCACAACGCACACCTTAATGAGGACTCCTTGCCAAGGAACTCTTGCACTGGACCCCTGAATAGGCATCCCGCATACGCAGGAACCCTTAACGAGGAACCCGTTCCAAAGAATCAACGCTTAATTGGCATCCTCGCAATCCTCGCAATGGAACCCTTTTGACCAAGTCCTTAACACAGAACCCTTAACATGGACTTCTCCATGAGGAATCCTTACCGAGGAATATGTACAACATATTCCTTAATAAGGATTGCTGAAGTGGGAACCCTTAGAGTGGACGCTTGAATCAAGAATCTATGCATAATAATGCTTACAACAATCTTCTTGGTAAGGCGCACTTAATGATGAAGGTTCACAACATATTCCAGAATAAGGCATCCACAATAAGGAATCCCCACAACGGACTCTTAAAGAAGAAACCCCTAATAATAACACCTCGCAAAAAGAGTCCTTGCCAAGGCATCCTCGCCACTGAAGCCTTGATCAAGAATCCTTAACAAAAGAAACATACGTTCCCAATGGGCTCCTGAATCAAAAAATACTTACCACGGACTCCAGAGTAGGGAATGAGCACAATGACATCCAGAGTACGAACCTTTACCAAGGACCCGTTCGCACGGAATGATTCCAAACAAATCTCCAGCTTGAACCCCCAAAATAACTAATGTATAACGAAATCCCAAACGGACACCCGCCGTTGCAGATTTTGGACCACACAAACAATCATTAACCCGGTCGCCTATCCCAGTGCACGTGATACTACATATCCTACCAACGATATCCCCAGGGATCCGACGACCGATCCTACCACAGGTCACAGTTTACATCCTGGGCTGTGCATTACTGCACATCACATGCTGGCCGCACAACACCACAAGCATACCTCCGCCCGGCATCACCAAATGGCCCCCAAAGCTCCGGAAAGCGCCCCCGAAGGCCGCAAAAGGTCCCCGGGAAGCCCTCACGGAGGCTCCAAAAAGCCCCCCAATGGCTCAGAGGAGACCCCCAAGACGCACCAAGAGTCCCCCAAAAGGCCCAAAGGCGACCAGGAAGCTGCAAGGTTTTTGTTTTGACATCGGCAGGCTGTGTTTCTGACCTCGGCTTGCAGCTCGAGTCAGGCACTCTAGACCAGAGTGCAAACAGAAAGAGAAACAGAAAAGCTCTCGGCAGATGGTCAGTGCCATGAGCCAGGAAGACTGAGTTCAACAACAGTAGTGGAACAACACAACCAAGTAACAACCGGTTGCGCTCATGGTCTATGTCATCCACTGCCACTTCCGCCACCAGCCGCAAAGGTGACATATCACCTACAAGCCAGGGGCAGGGCTGGGTGGCGCTCATGGTCTGTTTCGCCCAGTGCCACTTCCGCCACCAGCCTGCTCTGCCACAGACATCGCAGCAACCGTGGGGGGACATGATCCCGATGGATTATTATGGATGCCTGTGGATCCCAAGGAGACCCGATGGATTCCGATGGATTCATATAGTTTCCTGGGGATTTCTATGAATTCCTGAGATTTCTGATGGATTCCTACGGACCCCGCAGGATTCACAAGGATTCCAAAAGACTCCTGGTAGTGCTGAGGATTCCGGCGGATTCCTGTGGATTCCAGAAGATGCAAACGGGTTCCTAAGAACTGTCAGGGATCATGGCAATTTTTAAAAATCCATCATGATCCATCGGAATACTTGGGACTCCGCAGGAATCCATTGGGATCCTCGGGAATCAATAAGAAACCTTAGGATCCCCGAGGGATCCGTGGGAATCCTTCAGACTCCCTAGCAATCGCTGCGAAGCCTTAGGAATCCCTAGGATTCCCGAGGACTCCACCGGAATCCTCAGGAATCAATGAACTCATCGGAATCATCAGGAATCCATCGGAATCCCTGGTTCTTAGGATCCCCTGGGGATTCATAGGATTCCATCGGAATCCCTAAAAATCTTTGGGGACCTTTAGGAGCCGTAGGAATCCAGGGAAATCCGTGGGAACCCATAGGAATCCACAGGAATCCCCAGGAATCCCCATGAACATTCAAGACTCCTCAAGAATCCACAAGAATCTTCGGCAATTCTTAAGAATCCAAAGGAATGTCCCGGAACGTATAAGAATTAGTAGGTTTCCACCTGAACCATTGGGACTCCTCAGGAATCAACAAGAATCCTCCATAATCCCTAAGGATCCACAGACCGCAAGAACCTTCAGAAATCCTAAATAATCCGTAGCAGTCCGAATGAATCCGTAAAGTCCTCCAGGAATCCGACTGATTCTGTAAGGGATCTCTATGAAAAAACTTCAGACATCGCGCAAGAGTTCCTAGGCATTTCCCAAGAAACCATCGATTGGAATCCGCAGCCCCACGATTGTCTACCCGTCAGCCCCCCGCCAGGGCCCCCCCAGGGGGGGGGGCCTACGGCGTCGCGCCGCGTCGCGGGGGGGGGGGAATGGGCGGGGCCGCAGTCCGGGTTTGCGCCATCAACATCAACATCACCACAACATCACCGTCAGCATCATAATCATCATCATCATCATCATCATCATCATCATCATCAGCAGCAGCATCAGCATCATCAGCAGCAGCATCCCTACCACCAACATCATCATCAGCATCATCATCATCATCATCCTCGTCCTCATCAACAGCATCATCATCATCATCAGCATCAGCATCATTACAATCCTGATCATCAGAGTGAGGGGACTGAACCGAACGGTCATTCACTGTACCTGGGTGCGTGGCTGAAGTGGAATTCAGCGATGCGGATTATCGTTGTTGTTGTTGTGTTTGTTGTTTGTTGTTTGTTGTTTGTTGTTTGTTGTTTGTTGTTTGTTGTTTGTTGTTGTCGTCGTCCCACCCGCGACCCGCCCCGCGACCCACCCGCGACCAACCCCACGACCCACCCGCGACCCACCGGCGACCCACCCGCGACCCACCCCGCGACCCACCCGCGACCCACCCGCGACCCACCAGCGACCCACCCAGCGACCCGCCCGCGACCCACCCCGAGACCCACCCGGCGACCCACCCGCGACCCACCGGCGACCCACCCGCGACCCACCCACGACCCGCCCGCGACCACCCGAGACCCACCCCGCGACCCACCCGCGACCCACCCGCGACCCACCCACGACCCACCGCGACCCACCCGCGACCCACCCGGGACCCACCCCGCGACCCATCCAAAATTCTCGGCGCCTGCGGCGGGTTTTATTTTGCATTCGTTCCAGGTGGAGGACCTGCGACCCACCCGCGACCCACCCCGCGACCCACCCAAAATGTTCGGCGCCTGCGGCGGGCTTCTTCTGCATTCGTTCCAGGTGGAGAACCTACGATCCACCCACGACCCAAACCGCGTTCACAAATCAAACATTTCGGCGCTTGCGGCGGGTTTTTTGAATCCCTTCCAGGTGGAGGAGCCCGCGGCCCAGCCGCGACCCAAACTACGTTCACTGAACAAGCCAAAACTTCGGCGCCTGCGGCGGGTTTCTTCTGAATTCGCTCCAGGTGGAAAACCTACGACCAAACCGCGTTCAGTGTACAAATCAATATTTTCGGTGCCTGCGGCGAGCTGTTTTCAAGCTAGGCAGGAAAAGGAGGGGGGTCGGAGGGGGACGACGAGAAAGGAGGGAGGAGGAGGTGAGGAGGAGGAGGACGACGACGGAAAGGAGAAGGGGGGAGGATCGGGATGGGGGAGGAGGAGGAGGAGGAGGAGGAGGAGGAGGAGGAGGAGGAGGAGGAGGAGAAGGAGCAGGAGGAGGAGGAGGAGGGCGAGGAGGAAGATGAGGAAAAGGAGGAAGAGGAGGAGGTTGTGGAGGAAGAGGAGGCGGACGACGACGACGACGACGACGACGATGAGGACGAGGACGCGGACGAGGAAGAGGAGGAGGAGGAGGAGGAGCAGGAGGAGGAGGAGGAGCAGGAGGAGGAGGAGGAGGGCGCCATTGACAGGGAAGGTGAGGGCCACGAGGTCCGCCGGCTCGACGCCCGCGTCGCCCGCGCCCGCCCCCTCTCTCTTATCCGCAATTGCAGGGTGCTGCGTAATCCTCATCAGCATCAGCATCAGCATCAGCATCATCGTCATCGTCATCGTCATCGTCATCGTCATCGTCATCTTCATCGTCATCATCAGCATCATCGTAAACATCATGATCAGCATCATCATCATCAGGATCATCAGCATCATCATCAGCATCATTATCACCACCATTCCTGTCTCCCTCCCTCCCTCCCCTCCCCCTCTTTCCCTTTATCGTCTACCTCATTATCATCCCCCTCCCTCTCACTCTCCTACACCTACTCCTTCACCGCTTAACCCTTTTCGTTCCTCCTCCCCTCCTCCTTCTCCTCATCCTCCATTTCCTCCTCCTCCTCCCCCTCCCCCCCTCCCACTCCTTCCCTTGCCCCTCCCCCTCCCCTCCCACTCCTCCTCCTTGTCCTCTTCATCCTTCTTCTCCTCCGTCCATAAGTAGCTTCCCGCGCTGCACACACACACACCATCCCTTTGAGCGAACCACACGCCCTGCACATTTCGGGAGGATGGCTACTACGTGCCACAAAGCTGGGGGCTCCGCCAACTCCGCGGGGGCACGAAGCGGAAAGATGAAACAGGACACACTGCAAACAAGATGGGCGACATTACGGGCGAATGAGAAAAAGAAACATGGCATAACGTAAACTGTCGGAACTCCGCCCAGATTTCTTGGATCGGCGCTGGACCTCCCTGTCAGAGCCTCCGGTGCTGCCCACGCTCCACGCATCAGGGAAGGGGAACCCAGCGCAGATCCGAGAAATTAGCGCGGACCTCCAAAAGTTTGTCTAGGCAGCTTCTTCTTCTTCTTCTTCTCTTTCTCGAGATACGGGCGAATGGCCCAAGGGCGGGCATTGCACGCATCCGCTGGGGAGCCTCGTCAAAGACATGGACCATCGGCACCCCTGGATACATGCACTTGCGGGTCAACGTCTGGGGGGGATCAGCTCAGGGGGGCAAACGACAAGCTGGAAACGGCGACACGTCGCCGATAGATCGGCGATGGGTCCCTGATGGCAAATCCGCAGCAGTCCTGGGCGGGGCGGGCTAGTGGGTCCCTGTCGGCGATGAATGGGCGATCGGGGTCGATGCATTCCCCCCGAGTCTATCCGCGGCTCTGTGGCAGCCGTTCGGGACGCGCTCTCGGCGAGGCGCAGCTGCTGGAGAGCATCCCGAGGCTGGAAAGCCGCCGAGAACCGACGAAAATGCATTGAAACACCGTTCCCCTCCTGAGACTATACCCCCTGAACGTTTCCCCTGTACTCCCTTAACGTTGCACTACCTTAACGTTGCCCCTGAGTCCATCCCCCCCTGACATGGCCTCGTGGTCTTCGGGCCACAACTCGGCTCTGTGGCGGCAGTGTTAAGGACTATCCCGGCACCCCCCGAGCGCTCTCGGCGAGGGGCGCTTGCTGGAGAGCATCCCGAGGCTGGAAAAGACACCGAAATCAGACGAGGACGTCCGAAAACTTCGAACCTCGAAACTTTCTCCCCCTCAGGGCCCATCCCCCCTTAACGTTGCCACTCATGGTTGTTCCCCCCTGGAGTGTCCGCCCCTGTTGTCACCTCCGAGCAGACAGGATGGGCGAGTATAGGCGGAGAGGGCGAGCAGGGAGGGCGTCTCCTTCGCCTCGGCGGAAATGGTGTCCCAGGGTGGTTCCTGGCGCGACGAGAAGACTGACAAACTAACAGCAACAACAACAACAGCAACAACGGCAACAAAATCAGCAACAGCAACAACACCAATCATGTTAAGACTGTTCGCTCATATACGCCAGCGTGCCATTCAACACGTATATCCCAATCCCTCGATACCCGCCCTCTTCGTCTTCGCTCGTAGCCCCTTAAGGGTATATCCTTCTTACCTGCAACGTATATTTCGTGCAGCCAATAATGCAAGGGAAAAGAGGACGGAAGGAAAGAAGGACATCGCGAGGAAATCTCAAGCGATAGCGCGATGTCCAAATCCGCCGATCCGGCGTGTGAGTTTCAAAGACCCTCAGATTAAGCCTGAGCCTCAGTTCTTGAGTTCTTGAGTTTCAGCTCTGCTGGGGGGGGGGCGGTATATGAAAGAAACGGGAAAGCAGTAAGCAAGCGAAACTGCTCCAAGCTGCCTTGAATAATCAGCCACCGCGCTTGTCGCGGAAAGCGTGTCCTGAGCGTGTTTGTCGCTGCTTCCTTGCACGTTTTCAAATGCCAGAAGGACGTCCTCGGAGAACGACCCAACTCCCACTGACTCACCAGGCGACGTGGTCACCACACCGTTTGGGGGGGGCCCAAACTTTTGGTCAGCGGCCGCAAGCCGACAGGCGGCGGTCGACCGACGGCGGGGCGCGCGGAGGCAACGAGGCAAAATGGCAGAGGAGCGCGAGGCGCGAGGCGGCCGGGGGAACCAGAGGCGAGGGGCCACACCCAGCCCATGTAGGACATCGTGTGCGTGCCTGGGGGAAGCCCAAACAAACAGGGGCGCGTGGGGGTAGAGCGCAGTCGCGCTGGGGATGCGCGCGGACTTGGAGCGCGCTGCGATGGTTGCTGCTCACGGGTCAGCCGTCGGGGTGATGGAAGGCCCTCCAACCCCGTTTCCCGCTCCGTCGGCCCGCTGGCTGGCTGTGCTTGACCTTGGCCTGGCACTGAACCACCTGGGAAGGTTGTCTACAAGACCAGTACTGGACAAGGCGCAAAATATGCATGAGGAGGAACGCTAACTAGCGGGCAAGGAACTATACAACATACATGTGTCCGCCATCGGGGACGCCGTTGGCGGCTGGAAACTTCATACACCGACGTGCCGCCGTGGGCATACAAGAGGCACGCGTGCCAAGGATCACACAATTTCGGCAAGAACAAAAGGGATGGCGAGGGAGCCAGTCCCTGGCAGACGCGGGGAGGCGCGCGAGTGCTGCGACACGCTGGCAAGCCAGAGTCTCGAGGACGGGGAAGAGTGGACAAAAACACGTCAGTTCGGTTATGGGGGGTGTTCTTTATCCGCGTCCTCCTCCTCCTCCTCCTCCTCCTCCTCCTCCTCCTCCTCCTCCTCCTCCTCCTCCTCCTCCTCTCTCCTCTCTCCTCCTCCGCCTCCTCCTCCTCCTCTTCTCTTCCATGGGGGCCCCGCGCTTCGAGAGGCTCCGCGGGCTCCTGGCCACGTACATCTTCTATTTCGGTGGAGGGAGAAGAGGGAGGGAGGGAGGGAGGGAGGGAGGGAGGGATGAGGGATGAGGGAGATGATGGGGATGGGGAGGAGGAAAACGAGGAGGGGAAGGAGGACGAGGACGAGGAGCAGGAGGAGGTGAGGAGGAGGAGGAGGACGGAGAAGGCGAGGGGGACGGGGTGGACGGGGGGGAGCACGGTCGGTCGGTAGGAACAAGCAGACGGCGGGCCACGGGACGGAACGGGTGGGGGGGGGGCACGGTCGGTCGGCCGGAATATGCAGACGGGAAGCAATGGGGGAAGGGGAGCAGGGGGACGGGAGGGCACGGTCGGGCAAAATGGGGGGGGCCACGGTCGGTCGGTAGGAAGAAGCAGACAGGGGCCACAGGGCGGGAAGGGTACAAGAGGGGTGGGCGGGAAGGGTACAAGAGGGGTGCAAGAGGGCAGGAAGGCACGGTCGGGCAGGAGGGGCACGGTCGGTCGGCTGGAATATGCAGACGGGGAAGCACAAGGGGAAGGGGTGCGGGGGGGAGCAGGGGGACGGGAGGGCACGGTCGGGAAGGGGGGGGGCATGCATGGTCGGTCGGTCGGAATAAGCAGACGGGGGGCCACGGGACAGAAAGGGTGGGGGGTCGAGCGGTTGGTCAGTCGGAACGGGGCGGTCGGTCGGACGGAAGATGCAGACGGGAAACCACGGGACGAAGGGGAGTGAGCAGGGGGACGGGAGGGTTCGGTCGGGAAAGGGGGGGGCACGGTCGGCCGGTCGAAATAAGCAGACGGGAACCATGGGGCGGAGGGGTGCGGGAGGGGTGCATGGGGGACGGGAAGGCACGGTCGGGCAAAGGAGGGAGCACGGTCGGTCGGTCGGAATAAGCAGACGGGGGCCACGGGCCCGAGGGGTGCGGGGGGGGAGCAGGGGACGGGAGGGTACGGTCCGGCAGAGGGGGGGGGCACGATCGGTCGGTAAGCGGTAAGAATAAACAGACGGGGGTCACGGGGCGGAAAAAGGCGGGGGGGGCGCACGGTCCGTCAGTCAGAAGGGGGAGGGGGTGGACATGGGGGCAGCACGGTCGGTCGGTCGAACTAAGCAGACGGGAGGCCACAAGGCGAAGGGGGGGGGGGGCACGGTCGGTCGGAATAAGCAGACGGGGGCCACGGGCTGGAGGGTTGCGGGGGGACGAGAGGGCACGGTCAGGCAAAATGGGGGGGGTGCACGGTCGGTCGGGGTGGCCACGGGGCGGAAGGGTGCGGGGGGGGAGCAGGGGGACGGGAGGGCACGGTCGGGCAGAGGGGGGGGCACGGTCGGTCGGTAGGAATGAGCAGACGGGGGCCACGGGGGCAGCACACAGGGTCAATACACAGCCCTGCATATATCACAACACACGAAGGCAGCACACTTCCCAGCACACATCCCAGTCCAGCGCACATCCCAGGCACAGTCGGTCGGTCGAAATAATGTAGTGCGAGATCACACCGGTCGGCATGGTCATAACCGTTATTCGTCCGCTAAGTAGGAGGGCGGATACAAAACGGACAAAGTAGAGCCCACGAGACGCGACCCGATCCTGCTCCTTGCCTAAGGGGCAACGACGGGGGGGACGGGCTCAGAGGGGAAATGCTTCGCCGATGGATCGGCGACGGGCCCCCGCTAGCGAACCCGCACGTTGCTGGACGGGGGCGGGCTATCGAGCACCCCTCGGCGAGGAATGTGCGATTGGGGGTCGATGCGTCTCCCCCTGAGCCTGTCCCCTCCTAACATTGCCCCTGACCTACCCCTGGTCTTCCTCGCCATCCTCCCTCCCGCCGCCCCGTCCTCCATTGGCACGAGCTCTTGCCGGCGATTCTTGAGCTGCTGCTGCAGGCTGCCCTGGAACCTCCGCCCCGGTGGCAGGCGAGGCGGAGGCACAATTTCGGAGGCGGTTCGGGGGGAAGGGGAGGGGGGAGAGGCGGTGAGGGGATGGGAAATGGGGAGAATCCCTCCAGCCCTCTGGGCGTAAGTGGTTTAGGGAGGTTCCTCTTCCACCCCCCTTCTTCCCCTTCGGGGAGGGGCTGAGCACTGCTCCCTATTAATAAACACCCCTTCCCCCAGGCGACTGGTAGCCAACCCGAGACCATGCGGCACCCCCCACCATCCCTTGTAAAAAATACAAAACACACTCTGCCTCCAAATTCGGAGCATGCGCAGCCCACCCGATACGGCCTCCCCCCACCATCCCTGACAACAAAAATTACTCCGACGGAAGGACCCCACATGATAATCCTTTGGGCGAATCTGGAAAAAGCCCTCACCGTCGTCCTCGTGGTTGGTGAGGCGTCCTGGTTGTCCCTTCTGCGTATATTTCCCGCCCTGGCGCGGGCCCTCCCCCCGCTCCCTACGTCGCCCCCGACCTCGTCATCATCATCATCATCATCATCATCATCATCATCATCATCATCATCATCATCATCATCATCATCATCATCATCATCATCATCATGATCATCATCATCATCATCATCATCATCATCATCATCATCATCATCATCGTCGTCATCATCATCGGGCGCGTCCCAGTGGATACGTGCCCAACACGACACAGAGGAAACGCACAGGGTGCGTCCCAGTGGATACGTGCGGGGGCACGACCCAGAAGAAGCGCAAAAGGGTGCGTCCCAATGGACACGTGCCGGGAATAGCGCTCTGGGAACACGACGAACACAAAGTGGCCTACAGTTGGCTCCGGACATTCAGAATGTGGCCCGGGAGTGGTGCTCTGGGAGCACGAAAAACACGAAGTGGCCTACAGTTGGCTCCGGGCATTCACAATGTGGCCAGGGAATGGTGTTCTGGGAGCACGAAGAACACGAAGTGGCCTACAATTGACTCCAGGCGTTCAACATGTGGCCTGGGAATGGCGTTCTGGTAGCGCGAGAGCCCCAAATAAGCAACCACAGGAATTGGATGACCCGCTCGGATTAGTAAAATGATCCGCGGGCCCCACAGGGGGGCTCCCGCTTGAGACTTCCTCGGATTAGTAACATGATCCGCCTGGAAATGGCGTTCTGGCAGCGCGAGAGTCCAAAACTGGCGACAGCTACAGGAATTGGATGACCCGCTCGGATTAGTGAAATGATCCGCGGGCCCCGGCTCCCGCTTGAGACTTCCTCGGATTAGTAACGTGATCTGCCTGGGAATGGCGTTCTGGCAGCGCGAAAGCCCAAAAGTGGCGACAGGTACAGGAATTGGATGACCCGCTCGGATTAGTAAAATGATCCGCGGGCCCCATAGGGTGGGGGCTCCTGCTTGAGACTTGCTCGGATTAGTAACGCGATCTGCCTGGGAATGGCGTTCTGGCAACGCGAGAGCCCTAAAGTGGCGACAGCTACAGGAATTGGACGACCCGCTCGGATTAGTAAAATGATCCGCAGGGGGCTCCCGCTTGAGACTTCCTCGGATTAGTAACATGGTCCGCCTGGGAATGGCGTTCTGGCAGCGCGAGAGCACAAAAGTGGCGACATTTAGAAGAATTGGATGACCACCTCGGATTAGTAACATGATCCGCGGGCCCCATAAGGAGGGGGCTCTCGCTTGAGACTTCCTCGGGTTAGTAACATGACCCGCGGGCCCCATAGGGAGGGGGTTCCCGCTTGAGATTGCCCCGCAATTCACTCACAGACGAGGCCCAAGGCGAGTGAATGAGTGACTGACTGACTGGTGGCTGGTGATGACGATGATCAGAACACTCTCGCACGCGCACACTCATCATCATCATATGTGAGTTGATGAGCGTGTGAATGAGTGAGTGCTGATGAGTCAGTGAATGAGTGAGTGAGTGAGTGTGCGAGTGAGTGAATGAGTGAGCGAGTGAGCTTGCGAGTGAGTGGCTGAGTGAGTGAGTGAGTGAGTGAGCTGCTGAGTGAGTGAGTGAGCGCACGAAGACAAAAGAGGACAGGGGGTGAGGTGAAGAGGTTCCTGCGCGGGGTGTCCAGAGAAAACGCGAACCCCATTTTGGATGCGGGGAAGAAGAACCCCACTTTGGAAATGGGGAACAATACAGAGTACAATTGGCGACGGCGGCGGCGGCGGCTGCGGCGGCTGCGGCGGCGGCAGGGGCGGCGGCGGCGGCGGTGGCGGCTGCGGCGGCTGCGGCGGCGGCGGCGGCAGCGGCTGCGGCGGCGGCGGCGGCGGCGGCTGCGACGGCAGCGGTTGCGGCGACGGCGATTTGGCAGCGGCGGCGGCAGCAGCGGCGGCGGTGGCGGCGGGGGGCGGCGGCGGCGGCGGCGGCGGCGGCGGCAGGCAGCGGCGGCGGCGGCGGCGAGACGGTGGGGCGGCGGCGGCGACCGGGGGTGGCGATGCGGCCACCATCCTGTCAAAAACCAATACAGAGTACACTTGGCGGCGGCGGCGGCGGCTGCGGCGGCTGGCGGCGGCGGCGGCGGCGGCTGCGGCGGCTGCGGCGGCGGCGGCGGCGGCGGGGGCGGGGGGGGGGCGGCGGCGGCGGCGGGCGGCGGCGGCGGTTGCGGCGGCGGTGGCGGCGGCAGCGCTGCGCCAGCGGCGGCGGCGGGGGGCGGCGGCGCGCGGCGGCGGCGGCGGCGGGGCGGCGGCGGCGCGGCAGGCGGCAGGCGCGGCGGCGGTTGCGGCGGCGGCGGCGGCGGCGGCGGCGCGGCGGGGGCGGCGGCGGCGGGCAGCGGCGGCCGTGGCGGCGGCGGCGGCGGCGGCGGAATCGCCCCCAGTAGCTGCCCATCCAAAGACGACTGCTGAATATGCTGAGGCTCGGGCCAGACTCGGGTGCTACGTATGTGTTGGGAGGGCTGGTGGGAGTGAGCGAGACGGCTTGCGGGCGGGGAGGGGATAACTTGACCCCTCCCCCCTACCCCCTACCCTGGACCTGGGCGGGCGGTGCCGCGACCCATTGGAGCGTCTAAAACGGCCTCGGCGAAGAAGCCAAAATCATTGGTTTGACTAGGGTTGGGGCCCGTTTTGGCCTTTTGGTGGGGCAACGCCAAAATAACCCCCCCTCTTCTTTGGTCGATCTCCTCCAAGATGGCCCCAAGAGGCGCCCAACAGGCCCCAATATGTCCCAAGATGGTCCCAATCTGGCCCCCAGGAGGCCCCCAGGAGGCCCCCAAACTGGACACCAAACGGCCCCAAGAGCCCCCCCCCCCGAGGCACCCGAGACGCCCAAGAGCCCCCCAGGACCGCAAAAAAAAAAAAAGAAAAAAAAAAAAAAAACAAAAAAAAAAAAAAAAAAAAAAAAAAAAAAAAAAAATCCCAAGAGACCACCAATAAGCTCCCAAGAGATACCCCAACAGGCTCCGATGGGGCATCCAAGAGACCTCTGGCACTATTGATTGCCACCCTCCTCCTGCTCCTCCTTCCTCCTCCTACTCCTGTTATTCCTTTTCCTCCTCCTCCTCCTCCTCTTCCTCCTCCTCCTCCTCTTCCTCTTCATCATATTCATCCTCCTTCTCCCCACTCCCTCGTCCATCCATCCAGCCTCCTCCTTCTCCTCCCCCCTCCTTCGCACGGTTCGGCCGTGCCCCTCTTTGCTCCCGCGCTTCCGTGATCACCTCAACTCACCTGGACATCGTTTCTGTATGGGCTGGCAGGGATATTTTTTGATTTGCGGCGCCAAGGACGATTCCAGAGAGCGGGTCGTATCCTGCATGGGGCAGCACGCGAGATAATTGCCAGCGGGCCAAAGCCAACGCCGGAGTGACCTGGGCCAGAGAGGGCGCAGCAAGCTTGGGAGGCCAAGCGAGATAATTACCAGCGGGCCAAGAGCCAACGCAGGGATGCACGCGCGAGTAGCCCCAACCCGCCAAGGGGAGCGAGCGGGAGGCCACGCGAGATAATTACCAGCGGGCCAAAAGCCAATGCCGGGTGCACCTGCGAGGGGAGAAAAGCAAAGAGGCCCGACAAGGCCGGACGGTGAGCAGGTAGAACCAGCGGGCCAAAAGCCGACGCCGGAGAAAACCTGCGGGGGGGAAAGGAGCCGCAAGCCGACGACCCGGCACACGGAGAAAGCGATGCTAGAACCAGGAACCCTCACTCACGGAGCAACTAAGGCTCATGGACAGCTGCAACCAACCATTAGGTTGAAGCACCACTGAACACGGTCGTCAGACGAAGTGCGACGAGGGTAGCGTGGTCCTTCCCGCCGACAGCACCACGATGAGGGGAGCCCAGGCGGGCAAAGACCATGTCCGAAACCGATGCACGCGATGAAGCCGTCGTAAGCGCCTGCCAATGGGGGGTGCCACAGCAGTGTCGACGTGAAGGGGGGGAAAGGTGGAACGATGGGGCGGGCCTTAGGCCGGCGTTCCCATCCGCTCGAACGCCCGGGCGGGCGAGGCGGGCCCATGCTCGAGAACCAGGCCAGCTGGTGGGGATACGCGAAGTGTCTAGAATTAGTGAGTACGTTCAGGGAGGTCTTCGTAGGAACGGTAAAAGGCTGTAGAGGTCGATTAGGGGGCCAATGAGCCAGGTTAGGCCAGATTGAACCCAAGACTAGGCTGGATTACGCCATACTGAGCGAGAGCACATGAAATTGCAAAGGATGGCGCGGATTACATGGCAGTTGTCGGCCACGGATATAAGAGCACCGATGCTGAATTTTACCTCCAAGGGAATTGCACCCCAAGAAGAAGGGGGGCAAAAGAAACGGGGGATGAGGATCAGCCACCGCGCCGTGAACGCCGCATTCCGCACGAGGGCAAAGGCGGAGAAACGGGAGGCGGGGAGGGAGGCGGGAAGGGAGAGAACCGAGGAGGGGGAGGAGGGGAAGAGGAGACAAAGGGAGAGGAGGGGTAGAGGGGGGGAGAGAGGAGGGGGGGCAGGAGGGGGAGAGGAAGCCGGGAGGGGGATGCAAGAGATGCAAGACATAGGGACGCC